CGGTTCGGTTCCCGCTAAGGGCATGTACCTCGGTTGCAGTTTGTCCCCGGCCCTGGTTGGTCGTGCGGGTGGCAGCCACTCGATGTGTCCCTTTCACATCGATGTTTCCCTCTCTCTCTCTCCCTCCCACTCTGTCTGTACAAAAAATGGAAAAATGTCCTCGGATGAGGATTAAAAAAAAATAATAATAAAAATTGAATTGTCATTTGACCCAGTGATCCCACTTCTAGGAATATACCCCAAGAAGCCTGAAACACCAATCAGAAAGAATATATGTACTCCCATGTTCACAGCAGCACTATTTACAATAGCTAAGATCTGGAAACAGCCCAAGTGTCCATCAGTAGACACATGGATAAAAAAAGCTGTGGTACATATACACAATGGAGTACTATGCAGTTGTAAGAAAGATCTCTTATCCTTTGAGACAACACAGAGGGACCTGGAGAGTATTATTATACTAAGTAAAACAAGCCAAGCAGAGAAAGACAAATATCACATGATCTCACTTATTTGTGGAATATAATGAACATAACAGTCTGAGGAACAGGGTGGACCCAGAGACGTGGAAGTGGGTTACAGACTGACAACCCTCAGAAGGGGGGGGGGGAAACCACAGAACTTATATGCATGTATACATAACTGATGGACATGGACAACAAAGCTGGGGACGGGGTGGAGGGCATGGGGAGAGGGTGTCAATGGAGAAAAGAGGAGAAACATCTGTAACGAAAATAAATTAACAACAACAACAAAAAGAACCCAAAGAGGCCCACACCAAGACACATCATCATCAAAATGCAAAAGGTTAGCCCAGCCTGTGGGTTCAGGGTTGAGCGTCAACCCATGCACCAAGAGGTCACCGGTTCAATTCCTGGTCAGGGCACATGCCCAGGTTGTGGGCCAGATCCCCAATGGGGGCATGCAAGAGGTGGCCAATTGATGTTCTCTCTCATCGATGTTTCTATCTCTCTCTCCTTCTTCCTTCCTCTCTCTCTATAATCAATAAAGAAAAAAAAATTTTTTTTTAATGCAAAAGGTTAAAGACAAAGAGAGAATCTTAAAAGCACCAAGAGAAAAGCAATTAGTCACCTATATGGGAGCTCCCATAAGACTGTCAGCTGATTTCTCAAAAGAAACTTTGCAGGCCAGAAAGGAGTGGCAAGAAATATTCAAAGTGATGAAAAGCAAGGATCTACAACCAAGATTACTCTATCCTGCAAAGATATCATTTAGAATTAATGGACATATAAAGAGCTTCCCAGCCCTGCCCGGTTTTGCTCAGTGGTTACAGCATTAGCCTGCAGACTGAAGAGTCACGGGTCAAGGGCATGTACCTCAGTTGCAGGTTTGATCTCCAGCCACTGTTAGGGTCGTGCAGGAGGCAGCCAATCGATGTGTTTCTCTCACGTCAATGTTTCTCTCCCTCTCCCTCCCTCCCTCCTATTCTATCTAAAAAGCAATGGAAACCTGGCCCGTGTTGCTCAGTGGTTGAGCGTTGGCCTATGCACCAAGTCAGGGCACATACCCAGGTTGTGGACCAAATCCCCAGTAGGGGGCATGCAGGAGGTGGCCAATTGATGTTCTCTCTCATCGATGTTTTTATCTCTCTCTCCCTCTCCCTTCCTCTCTCTCTAAAATGAATAAAGAAAAAAAAAATTTTTTTTATCCTCACCCGAGGACATTTTTCCATTCTGTGTTCACGTAGAGTGGGAGGGGGAGAGAGAGAGAGAAACATCGATGTGAAAGGGATACATCGAGTCGCTGCCACGGCATGACCAACCAGGGCCAGGGACAAACTGCAACCAAGGTACGCACCCTTAGCAGGAACCGAACCCGGGTCTCTTGGGACCACAGGCCAATGCTCTAACCACTGAGCCAAACTGGCCAGGGCAAAAATTTTAAAAATAAAAAGCAATGGAACAATATCTTCAGGTGAGGATTAAAATAAATAAATAATGAAATAAAATAAAGAACTTTAGATAACGCTAAAGAAGTTAATCACCACCAAACCAATATTATATAAAATGTTGAAGGGTCTTTTTGAAGAAGATAAAAAATATCAACAATAAAATGGCAATAAATACATATCTATCAACAATTGAATTTACAAACAAAATGAACCAACAGAACAGAAACAGACTCATAGATACAGAGAACTTTTTGTTGGTTGCCAGATGGGAGGACAGTTGGAGGAATGGGCAATAAAAGGTAAAAGGATCAAGAAGTGCAAATTGATTGTTAGACTGATGATCCTTAGAGGGGAGAGGTGGGGCGAGATAAACCAAAGAATTTATGTGCGTATATGCATAACCAGTGGACACAGACAATAGTGTGCGGAAGGCAGGAGGGGATCAAAGAGGGAGGAAAGGAGGACGCCTGGAATACTTTCAACAATAAAAATAAATTTTTTTAAAAAGCAGCTCATGGCAGCTAGGAACTGACTCAGCTCTATCAATTAGGCCTTGATGTCAGGAACTGGCCTGACACTCATAGTTGGGCCTTGGTATTCTGCTAAACATAAACAATTTCATAGAACATCAATATCAGACAAAGCCACTATAACTACGATAATCAAGACAAAATAAGACCACTCTTTAATCATGTCTGAACATAGATAAAAACATGAACATTTTTGAAACTGCAAAAATAACCAAACACCCTCTTATCCTGGCCAATATGAGTAACTGCTATTTCTTTACCAATTACAGCTTTAGACTCACTTCATTTATTCCATTTTTAGATAAAATGTATTATGATACATTAGATACTTCCTGACAGCATCTAATCTAGAGCAAATGTTACTTCCTTGAGCCCTCCTTAAAATCACCTAACACAAGCCCAAATCCTATATTAAATCTTTTCTAACACCCTCTTATTGAGAAGTCCCACAGTTCCTCATGGTATGTAGTCTCCCTTTTTGCAACAAGTAATAACACTATAGGTGTGTGATTAGTGGTCTTTAGCTGAAGGACATTGACAGTGGAGTTATAGGGCTGGTCCTGTTCTCACAATCAGCTCCCCTTGAACCTCTGGGCTCCACCACAGAATAGTTTCCCAAACTCCTTTTTGGTTGTTTGCCACCAAAGATCACTAAGTGAAACAAGTTCTCCCTTTGGGCAGACATAGTGCCAGAAGATAGATATCCACAGCATTCAAGGCAGCTCCAAGTTCTACTCTCATAGAGCTCTGTGTAGTTGGAAAAGTAGACACTGAATAAAGACGAGTGCTACAAAGGGCAAGTACAAGGGGCTTGTGGATCCACCTAATAGGGGCAATTATACCTGGTCTGGGTGATCAGGGAGTCTTCACTGAAGAGGTGATGAACAGGAGTTAGCTAAGCAAAACTGTGGAACACATCATTCCCAACAGAGGTTGATAAAAGGGACTGGATAGATTGGGGTGTGCTCAGGGTGAAAAAAGGAGGTGGGTGGGGCTGTAACATGAAAATGAGACAGGGAGTACGAAGAGGTGTCTAATAAGCCATGGCAAGGATTTAGGTTTTTAAGCACAGACATGTGGTAAAAGACAAATTCCTAAGACAAGTTGATCCTGATCATATGTCAACATTTATTAACTTACTAGCAAGGGAAACAGCAAGATAAAAAAGGGTGGGCTAGTTCTGAAAGAACATGGAAATTGAGTAATTATATAGTTGGGAAACAATTAATTAGGTAAACTGTACTGTCCCATTACTTTTGGTCATAAAAACGTCAAATCCCTATCAGTCATTACTGAGGAGATCTGGGATATGATGCCAGGTAGGCCAAATAACAATAAAATCTTGTTATAAAAGACACCAAAACACAAATAATAAGGACACATTTATTAAATTGGAATAAAAAGGTTTCATTCCCCTACCAGTGGTGGGTGATAGGTCCAATTAATACAGTAACAGGAAACAGGATCCAAGACAGGTGAGGAGCAGAGTCCAAATCACAGGTTCTGCTCTTAAATAGGAGCCATCAATAGACATTTCTTAATTTGGAGACAAATTTTGTTCTTTGATAGTTATATATGATTTGCATTAGGTGAAGTTTGATGGGGGGATTTTTGATGTAATAAATATTCAGTCCTGAAGCCAGTTGAAGCCCAATGACACATCTCATCTCAAGCAGAGCAACCAGATTGGAAAAGTGGACACAGAATAACGTAACCCAGGCCAATAGCCAAAAACACCAAGGTCCAGTTCTGGCTCTGCCACTGCCTCTGCCACTCTGTGATGGTGGGTAAGCAGCTTCCCCTCTCTGGGCCTCAGTATCTATAAAATGAAGGGGCTGAGCTGCATGATTCCTAAGGATCCTGCCAGTTCTCTACCTCTAAGTTTCCAAAGGAATTAACTGGAACTAGTCCTTAATGGTCTAGTTTTGGCTAGATCCAAACAGTCCTAACATATGCCTGGCACCATGTTGGAGAGAGATGGCTAAGGGCCATAAGAATCAGGACTTTTTGGAGGTGGGGAGGCATGAGTCTAGCCTTAAATAATGGAGAGTTGGAGAAGCATAGTGAAAATAACAGTTTGCTGGCCAGAAAAAAATGGGTGTCCTAGGACATCTCCAAACTCAACCCGACAGCAATTCAACCCCCATCCCCAAACCTGCTCCTTCCTGAATTCCCTACTCAATTGATTCCATTTCTGGTGGACTCCATTCCCTATCAGAAATTTTCACACGAATATCTGAATATGAAGGATAACATTTAGAATTACTTATCACCTCCATACCTTTCTCCAGTGATGAGTCAAAAAGATGATTTTGAACACTAGCATATGCTGAAACATAAACCGGCAATGAAATAATGACACCATTGAAACTCTTGGTTTTGGTGTATTTTTTTCTTTCAAGTTTAACTCGTTTCTACCAATAATGTGCAGTATAATGATGATAAAAACAGTAAATTGACACCCCACGCTCAGGATTGAGGCCATTCCCCGCGTCCCTTCCTGTGGCTCTTTAGCTGACCAGGCCCGCCCACTCTCAGTGACATCACTTCCGCTTCCTGCCGCACGCGCGGCCATTTCTACTTCCGTGCGACCTGCCGGCAGAGTGGAGCGCTGCTTCTCTGACGTCGGCGGCGCTTCTTGAGAAGTGAGACCGCGGAACCGCAGCTATGGTGAGTGCGTGCTCCTGGTAGAAGGACCGGGAAGCCGGAGACTCGGGGGTTCGGTTCGCTCACCAGCCTGAAGGGCCTTAACACGTGCGATGTTTCGACCCCAGGCCTGGGCTTAGAGTTGCGGTAGCTACGTAGTGTGGCCCTCCCGGGCCCGAGTCTGAACTCGCAGCTGCGCGGTCCCAACAGCCCCGCTGGAGCTTAGAGCCCCGGAAGCCTTAGGGTCCCGACTGTTGTGGTCGGAGCTGCAGCAGTCTGTGCGCGCAGCCGAAGTTCCCTGGTGAACGGAGAGGGCATGGTCCGACCTGGGAGATAGAGACCAACCCACGTGGGAGAGAGTAGAAAGTTGAATAAGAAAACTTTGCTCCGTCTTTTTTATTTGGAGGGGTGGGGATCGCTGGAGGATGTTGTGTAACCCTGGATTCGGATCAACCTCCCCTATCCCACTTTCCATTGCTGATGTTCAGGAGGAGAGCTCTGTGGATCTGCGCCTAGTGCTCAACGCGAGTTACACGTGCCAGGGACTAAAGGAGCCTTTGGCGTTGGGGGGTGTGGGGAATGTGGAGGATTCTGGAACCCCAGTTTGGACTACAGTAAAGGCTCCTGCGAAGCTGTAGGCTCAGAAATCAGAGGTCCTGGTAGTACCGTGTGCAGTTCGAATTTGGGGGCTATGTGGTGTACAGGAGACCAAATTGATGGAGCTAGTGGTTAAAGCTAGTTAGTGGTATGATTTAATTCACTTGTTTAGTTAACCCTTTTTAAAAAGTAAAAGATGGAAAAATACACTAAGAAATTTCATTTGCTATTTATAAGATAGGTAGTTTGTTTTTAAAGTTGAGCTGACTTTTTGCTGTTGACTGACATTAAAACAGTAAGGTGATTGCTTTTTAATGGTTGTTCAGGCTCCCCATTTTTTGCCCTTGATGTTTATTGAGAGTTGAGAATACTTCCTTCCAGAGATAGGTTGTTGGAAACCACCATGGGAATATCTGACATTTTAAAAAGTAACTTTGAGGAGTGATTGGAATTCAAATGTTGTTGGGTCGTTTATTGTTTAGGAGGTGATGTTTGTTGGTGAGAATTAGATTTTGACAAATGTCATTTCTCAGGTAGCCACCAAAAGAGTAAAAATATTTAACTCTAGTAGAGGGGAAAAGAGTGAAGAAAAAAAAATTAACCCAAAGGAAGAAAAGAAAGAAAAATAAACAACATGTGGGACCAATATAAGGCACAAAAAGAAAGAACATTTGAACCTCAGTGTTTACTTAATTTACCCAATCAATAGTTAAGGGACTAAATGCTCCAGTTGAAAGACAGATTAAAGTAAAAAGAATAGAAAAGATATGCCAATTCAAAGTGTACTGTAGCCTATATGAACATGAGAAAGAAATGATCTGTAAAGATATAGAGTGGCCAGAAAATACGGGACAAATTTGAAAATGACAGTTACAAGAGGAAAAGACAAATACGCAATCATACAGCATTTAAGTATGTAATTGTTAGATTATGAAGCCAAAACATCAGTATGAAATAGAGGATGTTAGCAACACTATGAGTAAACTTGATCTAGTGGTCATAGTAACTAGTAAATATTGCATCTGATAAGTATAGAAGACACTTTTTTTTTTTTTAACTTATCTTTATTGGGTTTTTGTTTTTTTTTCCATTTTTTGTTCAGATAGAGTGGGAGGGAGAGAAAGAGAGAGAAACATCAACATGAAAGGGCTGGGGACAAACTGCAACCGAGGTACGTGCCCTTAGCAGGAACTGAACCCGGGTCTCTCTGGACCGCAGCCCATGCTGTAACCGCTGAGCTAAACCGCCCAGGGCTAGAAGACACTTTTCAAGCAAGGAACATTTATGAAGATGGCTACCTACTGGATCATAATGCAAGTTCAACAAATTTTGAAAGATTGATAAAAATACAGACACAGGCCATGTTCTCCCAAACAAATTAGGAATCTGTAACAAAGTGTTTGGAAAGAAGATACAGCCCTGGCTGGGTAGTTCAGTTTGTTAGAGCCTGGTCCCCTGATATGCTAGAATCAACCAATGAATGCATGAAAACAACAAATCAATGTTTCTCTCCCCCTTCCTCTCTCTCTTTAAAAATCAATAAAATAAAATGCTTATGTTGGGAGAAAAAGAACTAAAAAAAAAGAGGAAAAGAACAAGAGGACAAAATAGCACCAAGGAAAATAGAAGGGGAAAGAAAGCAGATATTGCTGGAATAGAAAACAGATTCTAATGATAGAGGATGGACAAATCAGAAGACAGTTCTTTGAAAAATCCCCTTCAGTGAAATTAATCAAGAAAATAAGCATAAAGGCGCAACATAAGGAATTAACAGCATAAAGGAGATATAATCTGCAGACATTAAAAAGAAAGGATATTGCTCTGGCTGGTTTAGAGCCGGCCTGCAGACCAAAGGGTCTTAGATTCCATTCCCAGTCAAGGGCATGTACCTGGGTTGCAGGTTGATCCTTGTTGGGCTTGAAGTTGGGATCATGCATGAGGCAGCCAATCAATGTGTCTTTTTCACATCAATGTTTCTCTGCCTCCCTCCCTTCCGCTCTATCTGAAAATCAATTGGAAAAATATCCTCTGGTGAGGTTTAACAAAAAAGAAGAAGAAGGGTATTGAGCACAATTTGATAACTATAAACATAATTTCAGGTTAAACAAATGCCTATAAATATATAATTATCAAAACCAATTCAAGAAGAAATAGAAAAAACTGAGTAGTGAACAGCTAAAACAATTCCTTTTTAAATTAAGCCTATTTTTAAAATTTTTATTTATTGCCCTGGCCAGTTTGGCTTAGCGGTTAGAGCATCAGCCTGCTGGCCGAGGGGTCACAAGTTCATTCCCAGTCAAGGGCACATACCTGGGTTGCAGGTTCAATCCCCAATCCTGAGGGAGGCAACCAATCAATGTGTCTCTAACATCTGTGTCTCTCTTCCTCTCTTCCTCTCACCTCCTCTCCCCCTCCCTCCCTCCCTAAAAGTCAAAAAACAGCCCTGGCTGTTTGGCTCAGTGATTAGAGCATTGGCCCTCTGTCCAGGGAGACCCGGGTTCGGTTCCTGCTAAGGGCACGTACCTCGGTTGCAGTTTGTCCCCAGCCCTGGTTGGGTCAGGCGGGTGGCAGCCACTCGATGTGTCCCTTTCACATCGATGTTTCTCTCTCTCTCTCTCTTCTTCTCCCTCCCTCCCACTCTATCTGAACAAAAAATGGAAAAATGTCCTCGGGTGAGGATTAAAAAAAAAACAAAACGGGCAATAAGCACATGTTATCTTTTGTAGTGTTGGTAGCTGTTAATCAGTGTCTGGATCTGTTAATTAATTTATCTGGGTTGATTAATTAATATGGGTTGTAAGGAGGTGACTATATCAATTCCTTCTTTATAAGTAGGATAATGATACAAGAGAAACTTCTCATCTGCCGTTTGGTTGCATGGTGATATGGTTTATATAGAAAAGACAGGATAGATACTATTCTATTTACCAGTTTTCAAAAACACTGTTGATTCACTAGCATGGCTTTGACTTTGGAAACATTAGATGTTTTATATATTTGAAAAATAAAATTTAAAAGAATTTTTTTTAAAGCAAACTGAACCCTAGCCGTTTGGCTCAGCAATTAGAGTGTTGGCCCACGTACCAAAGAATTGTGGGTTTGATTCCCGGTCAAGGGCATGTACTTTGGTTGCAGGTTCAATACCTGGCCCAGGTCGGGTCATTTCAGGGAGGCAACCAGTTGATGTATCTCGCACATCAATGTTTCTCTCTCTCTCCCTCCTTCCACTCTATGTAAAAATCAATAGAAAAATATCCTTGGGTGAGGATTTTTAAAAAAGAAAACTGAATACAAATGAACCCTAATTGTCTATCAAATTGATAACCATAAGGAAACCTTTAATTTAAATAATTTTTAATATAGTACTCTGACTGAACAACTTTAGTCAGATATATTCTAAGAGCAAAAAGAAATTTTGACCTTAGTGAGTATGTTGTTGGTAGAGGCAGTATTGGTATAGATAGCAATTCTGAAATTATTTTCTATGATACAGGGTTGAATAAATGAGAAAATAATTTGATGTTTTGGTAACCAAAGTTCTTACTGAAGACAAAGGGAGATTCGAATGCTGCATGGAGAGTGGAGAGAAAACTGTGTGGCATTTCTATACATTTCTACCTTATTTTGATTCAGTAAAAGTATATGATCTTTATTGGAGTGTGTAATTGCTAACCCTTTTTTTTTTTTCAATCCTAATTTAGTTTTTCTAACTTGAGAAAGTGTGTGGGCCAGTGTCATTTATTAAGTGTGTGTTCTGGGGTAAGGGAGCAGGGAGGCTGACCAGTGTGTCTCGGTTGTCCATTATTTTGTGATTTGTCTGGAACAACTACTGGTTCAGTTTCACTGACGCTTTGATTTTTCCTCCCCATAGACTGAGGCTGATGTAAATCCAAAGGCCTACCCTCTTGCAGATGCCCACCTCACCAAAAAACTATTGGACCTTGTTCAGCAGTCATGTAACTACAAGCAGCTTCGGAAAGGAGCCAATGAGGGTAAAGCGTCCAGGGTGTTCCAGGGAGGTTGTTGAAGGCACCTGTCTCTGCCGGGAGTCCCTGGTCTAGGTTTCCAGTATGGAGAGGGCCAGATACTCTTTTTTTTCTCCCCAGATACTCTTGATTGGGACCAATGTGAGGACTTAAGAACAGCATTTTGGCATTAGATGATATTTTTAGATCCACCAATTGTTAACATTTTGTCATACTTACCTTCTAACGAGAGCCAGAATTTGAATTTGGGCAGTGTGGCACTAGAGCCTGTGCCCTTGTCTGGTACTCCAGCAGTAATGCAGAGTGTGGTCTGTGGGCCAGCGCTAGGCCACAGATAAACGGTCAGGAATAAGCACTTGAGCGATACTGTGTGGCGTTGTGCCTCCTTGTCAGTTGCATGTGGTGTGAGCTTGCCAGAAGTATTGCTTGTGGCAAGTTGGGGTGGTAAAACCATCACAGATCAGAGTTTGAGACGTGTTGCAGTACACTGCTTCATGCTGGTGGGGCTTATGTGAAAGCTGTTCCAGTCAACCAGGCAAGAGATGGTGGTGACTTGGACAGGTGGTACAGAGGAGAGGAAAGATTCAGGATGTGCTCTGGCAGAACTGATGGGTTTGATGGAGGGTTTGAGGAAGGCATTGAGGATGGCCCATTGGTGATTAAATCCCTTATCACTTCCCAAGGCCGCTACAGGACACAGAAAATTGCTTGTGCCTGGGATTTTTGCCCATTTTCTTGCACCTGTGTTTCTTTTCCTTGGAAATTGCTTCATTGCAGCTTCCCTGCCCAAATCCCACATCATCTATTGGCCTCATGTCCTTCTCTCCACAGCCACCAAAACCCTCAACAGAGGCATCTCTGAGTTCATTGTGATGGCTGCAGACGCAGAGCCTCTGGAGATCATCCTGCACCTCCCGCTGCTGTGTGAAGACAAGAATGTGCCCTACGTGTTTGTGCGCTCCAAGCAGGCACTGGGGCGGGCCTGTGGGGTCTCAAGGCCTGTCATTGCCTGTTCTGTCACCATCAAAGAAGGCTCACAGCTGAAGCAGCAGATCCAGTCCATTCAGCAGTCCATTGAAAGGCTCTTAGTCTAAACCAGTGGTCTCTGCCACACTCTCCCACTGACTCCTCCCCCTGGGGTTGTGTATCATATTGTCTGTGTTAGCATGTAGTATTTCCAGCTACCTTCTATTGTTATAAAATATTGTAGTAGTAAATCTGGTTTTTACACTTTTGTATTATTTTTGTTTTGTTTTCTAGGTCATCATTTCAACCCCCATCCCACCCCTGCCTTAAATCTTTCCTCCCTTTAGAAAAATGAACTAAGACCCAGAACAAGTGGAAGCAAAGTGGTGACACCATTCAAAGGCAGGGAAGAGCCAGGATAGAGATCTGGTTCCAGCTTTCGGGCACTAACTCCTTTCTGTGTGCAGGGCATAGTGAAGTAAACAACCCCACCTTGATTTCCCTTGTGCCTGGCTACAGAACCATTCCATACATGTTTAAATGATCTAGGGGTTCCTTTGCTCTCTAGGGTGTTACATATCATTTGGGGAGGAAGCATGTATTCTGTGAGGTGGTTGTATGCCCAAATGTCATTTGTTAATGTATCCCTAACCATTTGCTTTTGGTAACAGGATGTTATGACCGTTCCCCACAACTCTCAGATGTGTCCCTGAGGGTGGCAAGACAGCAGCATACTGAAGAGATGTGTGCTGCAGGATTCCTGAAGTGGCCTGGGCTAGTGAGATGGGGCAGTTGACCTAGGTCTTGAAAGAGTCTGGAGTGGCAGGAGAAAATAAGGTGAACTGGTGCTGGAATGAAGGATTCTGGGCAAGCTTGGAGACCTGGAAGCTACAACAGAGGTGGTGGAGTCCAAGGAAACATCTCTCTGGTGAAGAGATTTCTTCAGTGGACACTTGGTACCAGCTCTGAGAGCCCTTACCTGTTTCCTGCCACGATGTGGGTCAGATGTATGTATTCTTGATCACATCAGAAGGACAGTGCTAATGTGTCAGTCTTGTGAGTCCTAGTAAAGAAATATATTCATACTCCAATTTAAAGAAAGTGTGATTCTTGGTAGGTATCCAGCTAATACTTGAAGAACTGCCTAGCATTATTAGAATGGTTTTAGCTTCTTTTTTTTTTTTTTTTTTTTAATCCTCACCCGAGGACATTTTTCCATTTTTTTGTTCTGATAGAGTGGGAGGGAGAGAGAGGAAGAGAGAGAGAGAGAAACATCGATGTGAAGGGACACATCAAGTGGCTGCCACCCTCACAACCAACCAGGGCCGGGGACAAACTGCAACCGAGGTACGTGCCCTTAGCGGGAACTGAACCCGGGTCTCTCTGTACCGCAGGCCGACGCTCCAACCGCTGAGCCAAACCGGCCAGGGCGGTTTTAGCTTCTTAAACTTGCCACCAAGAAGCTGTGCAAAAGCCATCAGTACCAGATGGTTTATGGTAGTTCAAAATGTCTTGTACAGACTTAGTCACTGAGGTGTTGCTATCACTCTATCTAGAACAGGGTTTCTCAACCTCAGCACTCTTGACATTTCGGGCTGAAGAACCCTTGTGGTAGAGGGCTGCCTGAATGTTGTAGTGTTTAGCGGCATCCCTGGCCTTTAGCCACTAGATGTCACTGTTAATCTTAACCCCTCCCTCTGGACATTGCCGAATGTTCCCAGGTAGCAAAGCCACCCCTAAGTTGAAAACCAGTTGGAGAATTAGGGCTCCTAGTAGCCCTTGGGACATACTGGCAAGGGAGGGGGGATTGGTATTGGTGACTGAAACCACTGCCCACTTACCTGTCTCATCTACTTTTTATCTAAGGAGGAAGTGCCATGAGAGCCTGATACCTCATTTTCTTACAAAGTACAAATAACTGAGTCTTGTGATGGTCAGATTAATGAAGCTAGATTATATTTGGTTTCCTCTTTGCCAGCCTGGGCCCATGTGCCCACTCCAGCAAGAAGCGTACCTGTCGAACCTGGAAACCACCCTGTCCTGTTAAAGGCTATTCTGTGCCTGCTGGGCCAGTCTTCCCCCAGCTTGCTTCAGTGTTTATACACACCCTCCTCTTACCCCAGCCATTTTATATTTGTGGGTGGTGCAGTTGGAGGTACTTACTACTTGTACTTTTTTGTTACATGTTGTGTCTTTGTAGTCATACTCTAAAAGACTGAAATAATTTGGGGGCAGAGGGAAATAAGAAACCCAATCTTCACCTAAATGGAAACAGGCTTACCCACTAGAGCCCTAAGAAGTGGGGTGGGGTAGGGGCTCCTGGGATCTTCATTCCTGGTGCCTGGAGTGTTAGTTCAGTTCCTACTGCTCTACTGTAAGCCTTCAAAGGGCAGGGTGTCAATTTGCAATCACCTAAAAAACCCCTGTGGTTCTTCCCTGCTCCTAATGACCTCTACTGCATGTCCTGTGTCTGCTTCACCATGTTCTATCTTTGCTTAGTGTTTTCATATTTGAAAACTAGAAAGCTAGAAAGAGGTCTCAGTAGAAAGCTAGAAGTTAGGTCATGAGACGCTCATTCTAGTCCTATAAAGGACACAGGACCTACAAACCCTGAATCTCAAGCCATCCTCAGAGGACACAAATCCTTCCAGATGTCTTCCTTCCTTCTCTCAAGCCAATTCTTCAAAAGCAGTAGCAGAAAAAGCAGGGAAGGGACAGGGAGGACGGAGGAGATGGGGAGGAAGAAAATGACTCAACTCCTTTTCCACTTCTAGTACTAGGACCTCTCCTCATCTTGAATTTCCTCCTGCTCCCCTGAAAAATAAGAGGAATAACTGAACTGGAACCCAAATTCTCAGGGCAATAGAAACTGTCTTCATATACTTGAGTGTCTGAGGGGTGATAATTACTCATGAAGCAAATGGTACCAGTATTAGAAATGTTACATTCTTATTGCCTCTGAAATCTGATCTTTATATCTTTTTTTTTCTTTATTGATTTTAGAGGAAGGGAGAGGGAGAGACAAAAACATGGATGAGAGAGAACATCGACTGGCCGCCTCCGGCATGCCCCCCATTGGGGATTTGACCCACAACTTGGCCATGTGTCCTGACCAGGAATTGAACCGGCGACCTCTTGCTGCATGGGTTGAGGCTCAACCACTGAGCCACACCAGCCAGGCTGATCTTTAGATCTTAATATGACAATTAAAGGAAAAAAGGTGAGCGGGCAGGATCTTGCTAGGGCTTGTCATCCCTGAAGTATGTTCACCCAATCTTTTTTTTTTTTTTTTTTGGTACATGACCCTAGTGGGAACCAAACCCAGGACTCTAGATCACAGGCCGATGCTCCGACCACTGAGCCAAACTGGCCAGGGCTGTTCACCTGTTTTTAATCATCACATTCTCTGCCCTGGCCGGTTTGGCTCAGCAGTTACAGCATCGGCCTGCGGACCAGAGAGACCTGGGTTCAGTTCCCACTAAGGGCACGTACCTTAGTTGTGGTTTGTCCCAGCCCCGGTTGGGGTCGTGTGGGTGGCAACTAGTCGATGTGTCTCTCTCACATCAATGTGTTTCTCTCTCTCTCTTCCTCCCTCTCTCCTTCCTGCTCTATCTGAAGATAAATGAAAAAAAAAAAAAAATCACATTCTCTTCTACCTTCATTGGTATTCATTTTGTTCCCATTGTGATGATGTGTATTCCAAGTGGTAGAGAAAATTAAGCTAATAGCCAATAACAAGTGATCTTTAGATGCAAGACAGACATTCTTTCACACTAAACAGTATATAGTACAAAATTAGGGCTCTTTATTCAGACAGTAGAATAAGGCACAACAAAGTGGGAGGACTACTCTGTCTCCATGGCAACAGAAAGTCTCATAAGTATAAAGTTCTGGCTTCTGTCAGGCAGACTTCCTGGCTCAGGAGGAATATTTTTTAACTTGAGAAAACCAGGCAGCATGGCTACAGGGTGGAAGGGTTGCTAGGGGGACAGGCTCTGGTCAGTCCTGGAAGTGTTTGGTGAGTACATCCAGCAGCTCCTGCTTCCTCATCCCTCCCTTCAGTCCACACACCCTGCAGGCTTCCTTTAGCATGGGCACAGTGAGCTTACCCAGCGTCCCCTTGCTGACATGGGCCTTCAGTTCCTCCTTGGATAACTCCATCTTGGGCCTTTTGCTTACAGAACTTTCATCTGGGGAAAAAGGTCAGGAGGGAGTGATTGGAAATGCTACCAGTGGCATCCCAGCTACACTGCAGAGGACCCTCATGATCTGGGCTGCAGCCAGCCATTCTCTATAAAGCTGTGATGCCCACTTAGAACACCATGGGAAAGATAGGTGTCTTGATAAGGCAGCTTCATTTAAACATAAAATCAAAACTATCAACCCAGGAGGGAATTAAGAGTAGTCTGCTGCCCACTCTAAATGAGCAAGCCATTCATTCCTTCCCTCCGGCCTTCCAAAAGCATTTACAGAGCACCAAGTAAGTACCAAGGCACCATGCTAGGTAACAGAATGTGTCAGCTGAGCAAGGTAAACAAGTACATCACTGGAGCATGCACAGAAGAGCGATGTTCACATGGGCACTAGAGTCGCTTCTGATGCAGAGGGTGAAGCCCCATGGCCACACCTACACTCGCACAGCTCCACTGCCCTCGGTGGTCTCAGGCAGGCGAGGCCCAAATCTGGCTTTACTTACCAAAGATGGCCAAAAGGGTTACAGCCTAAGCCAGAACTATTCCCAAATGGTGAGAACTCAAAGGGCTGTCCTGAAAACAGAGTCACTCGTGGTACAGTAGTTTGGATACAGTGGTAAGGAAAAGGACAGTCCAATAGAAAAAAAGGGTTAAGACTAAAAACTGGAAGTTCACAGGGGCAAAAAAAAAAAAAAAAAATGGTCCAAGAAAATTACATTTCACTGTTTATTTGATCACAAATCAAAACAGGATATAATTTTCCTTCTTATTTTTTGTGAAAAATTTAAAAAGTAGTATATAAAGTCCAGAATTGGTGAGAGATAAGGAAACACACCCATCCCTTCTTGGAGAGGGTATACATTTGTATCACTTTTTCAGAGGCAAACTGGCCATCCTTATCAGAACTTGAAATGTTTACACCTTGACCCAGTAATTCCAGTGTTAAGAACTGATCCTATGGATCTGCTCATACAAGTACACATGACGGTGGTCCATGTTCACTGCAGCATATCCATCAGTAAAGGTCTGGTTGAATCAACCAGCACATCTATCCAATGAAGTACTCTGTAGCCTCATTTTTTTTAATGATGCTGATATGTATGTGTAGATATAAGTAACTGTCCAACATAAACAGCTGAGTAACACAATAAACTAGACACAATGTGAATACTACCCCATTTATGCTAAAATATGTATTTGTATTATGTAAATATGTAGGTTTGTATAGATACAGAAGAGTTGTTATCCTCTGTGGTAAGACCATAAAGACAACATTTGGAAATAACCCACTGGACTTCCACACCCAACTCTCACCTTGTTTTCGCTTCGAAACTTTTCCCTCAGGATTGTAATCTGGTGGGTATACAAGCTCCTTAAACTCATCTACGAGGGAGCCCAGTCTTCCATCCATTGCTTCAACCTTGGGCACTAGGAAATCAAAACAGGAAAAGTGGCCTGCCAAGCTGCACAAATCATGGCTTCCTGTAAGCACCTAATGGGGTTGGGGGAGGTCGGGGAAGGAAGGGTTCACAAGCATGCAGCTGACCTGGCCATGAAAACATTCAATAAATTTTATCTGACATTTACCAAGTACATTCTAACAACTACATTTAATGGGGACTTGCAATACTCAGGCACCCTTCTAAATGCTTGTTAACCTCTAGCCCTGGCCAGTTTGGCTCAGCGGTTAAGAGCGTCAGCCTGAGGTCCAGAGAGACCCAGGTTCGGTTCCTGCTAAGGGCACGAACCTCGGTTGCAGTTTGTCCCCGGCCCTGGTTAGGTTGTGCGGGTGGCAGGCACTCGATGTGTCCCTTTCACATCGATGTTTCTTTCTCTCTCTCTCTCTTGCTCTCTCTCCCTCCCACTCTATCTGAACAAAAAAATGGAAAAATGTCCTCAGGTGATGATAAAAAAAAAAATGACTACCCTTTAAATGCTTGTTAACCTCTGGGGTCAGAAAATTTGTCTCCCTGTTTTGAGGAAAACAGAGGCTAAATGACCTATCTGAGGTCAAACAGCTGGGAAGTGATTGAGTTGAGAACTGGGCTGGACTCTGGAGATTCAAACAAGTTTAGGCCCGGGCTTACAGTTGAGTCAGGATAAGGAGGTGGTAAAAACAGATGCAATAGCCCTGGCCAGTTTGGCTCAGCGATTGAGCATCAGCCTATGGACCAGGGAGTCCTGGGTTCGGTTCCTGCTAGGGGCACGTACCCAAAAAAAAAAAAAAAAAACCCAAAACAAAACAACATAGATGCAATACAGCTGGGCAAAGCCATGAATGAAGAGACTGTACAGGACAGAACCTGGGGAAAGACTCTGGAAAGCTGATTGATCTTCCTCAGGCTGATACTATTCCAAGCAGGAAAAGGCACAGGGGTAAGAAACAGCAGGCAGTATACAGCTTAAAGACAGGACAGAATCATTAAGGAGGCCAGAAAGGCAAGCACAGTCAGGTCACACAGAAACCTCATCATAAGAACAGTGGGGAAGGACTTTTGGTCAAGATGGTGGGTAGGTAAATGTGGTATCGCGTCCTCTCACAACCACACCAAAGTTACAACTAAACTACAGAACAACCATCGTTCAAAACCACCTGAAATCAAGCTGAATGGAAGTCCTATGACTACGGAATTAAAGCAGCTGCATCGAGACTGATAGGAGGGGAGGAGGCACGACGGGCTGGTCCCACACCCACGTGTGACGGATAAAAATCAGGAGGACACCCAGGCCGGGAAAGTCCTTCCTGAGGAGTGAGGGGTCCCTGTCCCACACCAGATGCCCCGCGGTTCCAGTGCCAGGAAAAGAAGTCCCCATAACTTCTGGCTGGAAAAACCAGCAGGAACTGAGGCTCAGGGAGGCTGAGGCGGCTGGAGCCCAGGCAGCTCCTCTTAAAGGGCCCAAGCACGGACATATCGGACTCGCTCCCTCTAAGCTTGGAGGGGAAGTAGCTGGAGGGGCACCAGAGACATACAGGGAAGAACTGAGCTGTTTGGCATTGGAGCGAGGGCTGGAGAGGGGGCCTTCTCCGGGACAGACTTGTTCCTTTGGTGAGCCCTTCCCTGGGGCGGCACAGAGTCACCATATCTGGGACTCCAGCAACCTGGCTCACACTGGGAGCCCCGCCCTGGTGATTCCCTGAAACCCCGCCCCATCCAACTTTCAGGCCCACCCAAGCTGTTGCCAGTTGCTTAACCATAGGATTGGCCTGTCTTGGATCCTGCTTCAGGTTTTCCTAAATTCTTTCAAACAAGTATCATCTGGTCTCAGACAGCCCCATACCCCTCGTTAAGTAATACACAGAAAAAACACAGAGAGGTACCAAAATGAGGAGACAAAGAAACAGGTCCCAAATGAAAGAACAGAACAGAACCCCAAGAAAAGAACTAAGCGAAATGGAGATAAGCAACCTAACAGATGCTGAGTTCAAAATACTGCTTATAAAGATGCTCAGTGAACTTAGTGAGGACCTCAAGAGCATAAAAAAGGACCAGTCAGAAATGATGGATGCACAGTCAGAAATGAAGGAGGCATTAACTGAAATAAAGAATAATTTACACAGATTCAATAGTAGAGTATGTAAATCCAAAAAGCAAACCATTGATTTGGAATATAAGGAAGAAAAAAACGCCCAATCAGGACAGCAAAAAGAAAAAGGAACCCCCCAAAATGAGGACAGTGTAAGGAGCCTCTGGGACAACTTCAAGCGTGCCAACATTCACATATTGGGGGTGCCAGAAGGAGAAGAGAGAGAACAAGAAATTGAAAACCTGTTTGAAACAATAATGGCAGAAAACTTTCCTAACTTGGTGAAGAAAACAGACATACAAGTCCAGGAAGCACAGAGAGTCCCAAACAAGATGAACCCCAAGAGGCCCACACCAAGACACATCATCATCAAAATGCAAAAGGTTCAAGACAAAGAATCTTAAAAGCAGCAAGAGAAAAGCAGTTAGTTACCTACAAGGGAGTTCCCGTAAGACTGTTGGCTGATTTCTCAAAAGAAACTTTCAAGCCAGAAGGGAGTGGCAAGAAATATCAGAGTGATGAAAAACAAGAACCTACAACCAAGATAACTCTATCCTGCAAAGCTGTCATTTAGAATCGATGACCATATAAAGAGTTTACCAACAAGAAAAAGTCAAAGGAGTTCATTACCACCAAACCGTTATTATATGAAATGATGAAGGATCTTTTTGAAGAAAAAGATAAAATATATGAACAAACAAAATGGCAATGAATACATATCTATCGACAATGGAATCTACAAACAAAATGAACAGGCAGAACAGAAACATTCTCATAGATACAGAGAACATTTTGTTGGTTGCCAGATGGGAGGGGGGTTGGGAGAATGGGTGAAAAATGTGAAGGGATTAAGTACAAATTCATTGCTAGACTGACAAACCTCAAAGGGAAAGGGGTTGGGGGGTGGAAAGAAATAAACCAAAGAACTTATATGCATAACCAATGGACACAGACAATAGTGTGGGAAAAGGTGGAAGGGGGGTGGGAGTGTGGAGGAGGGGGTCAATGGGGGAAAAATGAGGAACATCTGTAATACATACAACAATAAAGATTTAAAATAAAAAAAAAATAACAGTGGGGAAACTGAAGGGCAGCAACAGGATCAGATTCACATTTCAGAACGATCACCCCAACAGCTGTGTGGAGTATGAACTGAAGGCAGGTAAGACAGAAGGCTGAAGCACTGTTGGGGGGTGGGGGCAGCAGGCATTAGACTATAAACATGAAAAGGGGCAGATCTAACAAAATCTTTTTGTTGTTGTTGTTAATCCTCACACAAGGATATTTTTCCACTGATTTTTAAAGAGGAAGAGAGAAAGAAACATCAATGTGATAGTGAGACATTGATCAGCTGCCTCCTGCACACCCAATACCAGGAATGGAACCCTCAACTTGGGCATGTGCCCTAACTGGAAATCAAACTGGTAACAGGACAATGCCCAACCAACTGAGCAACAGAGGCCAGAACTACATTGATTTTTAGAAAAAGGGAAGAAGGGAAGGGGAGAGAGAGAGAGACAGTGATGTGAAGAACATTGATTGGTTGCCTCCTGCACACACCCCAACCCGGGATCAAACCCACAACCTGGGTACATGTCCTGACAGAATGGAACCTGGCACCTCTGGTGCATGGGACAATACTCCAACCAACTGAGTCACACCGGTCAGGGCTGCAAGACCTACTCAGGTGTGGGGGCAGGCAGGTGGAGGGGTTGGGCACCAGGAGCATTCCCCAAGGCAAATACCATGCCTGCCTCACGGTTATGAGGACTGAATGAATGAGCACATAGGACAGTGCATGGCACACAGTAAACACTCAATAAACTGTAGATTATTATGTTTTGAACTTTTACCATCATGCAGCCATGAGGTGGCCTAGTTCAGAGGCAGTTCTCAAAAGCCTGGCACTTGCTCCTCCTCTCACTGCAGGACCAGCCTGTTCCCAGACAGTCTAAGCTAGTCTAGAAAATCTCTCAGACAGAGACGGGCTGGACAATGAGGTTAAGTCTTGACAGGGTGCTAGGAAATGCATCCACATTACTGTCCAGAGTGAGCTCAGAAAGAGAGCCTGCCATGACAAGTTCTCAGCGCAGTCGCAGCCTTCTTACATGTCAGATCTACTGCTTGTTCAGGCTCCGTCAAATCCAAAGCCAAGGCCTCCAGGTTCCTGAAGTGCTGCTGCAGTACCGGGTTCTCAAAGCTGTCACTTCTGTTAAAATAATAATGGAAACAAATAAATTTTAAAATAAAAACGGTGATGTTTTTAAAATAATAAAATTAAATAAACCCAAGTTAGTGCAGGTCCAAGGTCAGCTGAGAAAACGCCCCAAGTAAGAGTTAGGAATCTTATCGCTCTCTTATTTTTTAATCCTCACCCAAGAACATATTCAGTGATTTTTAGAGAAAGGGGAGGAAGAGAGAATGAGAGAAAAACATCGATGTGAGACAGAAGCATCAATTGGTTGCCTCCCATACATGCCCTGACCAGGGATGGAACCCACAACCTAGATATGTACCCTGGCTGGGAATCGAACCCACAACCTTTTGGTGTATGGGAAGACAATCCAACAGAGTCACACTGTCCAGGGTGAGAATCTTGTCTCTTGAATTAACTTCTCTCTCTCCAATTTTCAATTTATTGTCTGACACTAGAGACCCAAAACCTAATTTAAAAGCAAATAATATCTGCCCACCTGGAAGCTTTAGGCAGATAATAGTGGAAGTGCAGGACTATGTAAATATAGAGAAGAGACGAAGGAGAGATGATGGGAAATAGGGAGACAATGGACCTGAAGACATTTTCTTCCCGTACTTCATAGCAGCATGGTAGTAAAAAGAGAAAGAGCCCGGGCCAGTTTGGCTCAGCGGTTAGAGCGTTGGCCTGTGGTCCAGAGAGACCTGGGTTTGGTTCCCACTAAGGACATGTACCTCGGTTGCAGTTTGTCCCCAACCCTGGTTGGGTCGTGCGGGTGGCAACCACTCCATGTGTCCCTTTCACGTCGATGTTTCTCTCTCTCTCTCTCTCTCTCTCTCTCCCTCCCTCCCTCCCACTCTATCTGAACAAAAAATGTAAGAATGTCCTCGGGTGAGGATAAAAAAATAATAATAATAAAAAATAAAAATAAAAAAGAGAGAATCTCGAGTCAGAAAGACCTAGCTCCTTCCAGCTGGATGAGTCTCCACAGGCTGCCTCACTCCTCTAAGCCTGTTTCTTCATCTGTAAAATGGCCATGAAACCTAGCTTTCAGGGTGTACAGCAAATGGGAACATGGACCCCTTCCCAAGCTACAACTCCCCCTCCTACCCTGTAGAAATATGGTGAAGGCCACCTGTAAACGGTCGGTGAGACCTGAGACCTGGCGAGCCTGGCCAGCTCCTTGGTCAAGGGAGAAACTGCTGCTGAATGTGAGCCTGGACTGAAAACAACCGCAGAGAAAACAGCTTGCGTTTTGATTTCACACAGCTGACCTGCATGCCCTGTGCGCTTGTTTTCTGTTCTCTACACAACTCTGTACTGCGAAAGTCTGGGTTGTGATAAAAATTTCTCTGGCTGGCTGTCCCTGGCATGTCCTGTCTGCAGGCCGAATGGGAACTGGCGGAAAACTTCACTGGTTGGCCACCACTGATGAGCACGTGAGACCTAATAAACCCTTGTCTTTCAAAGCCAGTCCTCCAGGTTATTTCTTTGGAATCTACAAACAATACACTGAGATTTTCTTGAGTTCCTGCTCTCTGCATAACACAGGGTTCTTTTTTTCTCTTAAACTTTTTTCTTTATTGATTTTAGAGAGAAAGGGAGAGGCAGAGATGGAAACAATGATGAGACAGCATGCAGCTGCCTCTTGCATGCCCCCTACTGGGGATCAAGCCTGCAACCCTGGCATGTGCCCTGACTGGAAATTGAACCTGTGACCTCTTAGGGCATTCAAAGATGCTCAACCACTGAGCCACACCAACCAGGCTAACACAGGGTTCTTATGATGAATAAATGAACCCAGCCGGTGTGGCTCAGTGGTTGAGCGTTGACCCATGCACCAGGAGGTTGCTGATTTGATTCTGGATCAGGGCACATGCCCAGGTTGTGGGCCACATCCCCAGTGAGGGGCATGCAGGAGGTGACCAACTGATGTCTCTCTCATTGATGGTTCTATCTCTCTCTCCCTCTCTCTCTAAAAATCAATTTAAAAAAAAACAGCCCTGGCCAGTTTGGCTCAGAGGTTAGAGGGTTGGCCTGTGGATCAGAGAGTCCTGGGTTCGGTTCCCGCTAAGGGAGCGTACTTCGGTTGAGGTCCCCCAGCCCCTGTTGGGGTAATGTGGGTGGCAGCCAGTCGATGTGTCTCTTCACATCAATGTTTCTCTCTCTCTTCCACTCTCTCTCCTTCCTGGTCTATCTGAGGATAAGTGCAAAAGTGTCCTCGGATGAGAATTAAAAAAAAAAAAGACTTACCCTGGCCGGTTTGTCTCAACCGTAGAGCCTCGGCCCTCGAACCAATGAGTTGTGGGTTTGATTCCAGTCAAGGGCATGTACCTCGGTTGCGGTTCGTCCTTGGCCCTGGTCGGGCCATGTGGGAGGCAACCAGTCAATATGTCCCTCTCACGTTGATATTTCTCTCTCTCTTCCTTTTTCTTTTTTTATCCTCACCCAAATCTATACAGTTTCCATTTTTTATTCAGATAGAGCAGGAGGGATAAAAAGGAAGAGAGAGAGAGAGAGAGAGAAACATCGACATGAAAGAAACACATCGAGTGGCTGCCACCCACACAACCCAACCAGGGCCGGGGACAAAATGCAACCGAGGTACATGCTCTTAGTGGGAAGTAAACCCGGGTCTCTCCAGACCGCAGGCCAATGCTCTAACCACTGAGCAACCGGCCAGGGCTCTCTCCCTTTTTCTATCTCTCCCTCCCTCCCACTCTATCTGAAGATAAATAGAAAAATATCCTCAGGTGAGGATATAAAGAAAAACAACTTTCAACTCAGGAGGCAATTCTAGAAGAAAGCCTGTGATCGACCCACTACTCACCTATATTTGAAGCGGAGCTTCTGAACAATAGCCTTCATCTTGTCTACCTGCTCTGGGTTTGCCATCACTTTCTCAGTAAAGGGCACCTTCCGTTTATCATCAGCATAGGGTAAGAAGACAAGATGAAAACCTGAAGAAGGGAGATAAGATTTCTGAGAACTGACTTCACAAAAGGTTTCAGTGATTGAGTTGTCATTTGTCCCTCAGCTCCAAATTCACCCATCTTTTTTTTTTAAGAGAGGGAGAAAAAAACATCGATTTGTTGTCCCACCCATACATTGATGCCTGCATGTACCCTGACCAAGGATTGAACCCAGAACCTTGGCATATCAGGAAGATGCTCTAACCAAGTGAGCTACCCAGCCAGGGCCAAATTCATCCTTCTGTGTCCTGTGATGCTGGGGCTGGGACCCTGCCCGCCCCATTTCTCTTTTACCAGCTGATTTCTGTTAGCATCTGCCTAACAGACTCCTTCCAGAGGGCAATCCCAAGGCGGGAGTGCTCCTCCCCATATACTTCCTGTTCCTGTCACTGCTGCCCCAGCTGGTACTCTTTACCTGGCAGCAGCAGCTGGTTCCACCTCCAGCTGTTTTGATACACCAGAGCCAGCTAAGCAGTGCTGGCTCCCTGAGGTCTAAGCCCCAGCTCCATCAGGCCCTTCTCTGCAGGTGGCCACCACTCGATGTGTCCCTTTCACGTCAATGTTTCTCTCTCTCTCTCTCCCACTCTATCTGAACAAAAAATGGAAAGATGTCCTCAGGTGAGGATAAAAACAAAACAAAAAAAACCTTAATAACTGACATACAAAGCTATTCCTGAACATTTTGATTACAAGGGTTAGAAATATAATTATGTTCAAAGGATGACTTTATAAAGTTCATATTATTAGCATGGTTAAAGAAGGAAGGCAACTATCACCAGGCTACATTGTGCTAGGGCCTTGTATGTTTATTAACTTATTTCAAATGTGAAACAACCTTGAGAGAAAGGTGTTCCAGAATTCTCATCTTTGCAGATGTCCTCATAAACAGGAAGGTTAAATTGTTTGCCCAAACTGGCCAGCTAATAAATGGCAGCGATGGGCCCAAAACAAAAGAAAGTAAGCTTTCAGATACATAGCATAAGATAGAGTCAAGTCTGACTTCAAAACCCCTGGTAGTTCTACTAGACCTTTCTGCCTTGGTGTACACAGGAGATAAACCAAACATTAAACCTTACAAGGGTGCCAAACAATGGCTTTTAGTAAAGAAAGGTGTCAGCAGTCAGACCCCATGAACCTGTGTCAGTAACATGCAAACAGTCCCTGTGCAGTCAGCCCTCAACCTTGGCTACAGAGCTGCCTTGTACGACAGCACATGTACACCTGGCAGATGTGCACCAGACTCACCTGTGAAACCTCAAACACACACTTCCCAGGCCCCATCCCTGGCGGCTCTGGTACCGCCAGTCAGCCATGAGTAGTTCCAAAGCCTGATAAGGTTCAGAAGCACAGAAAATATCTCTTCCACATACCTGGGGGAGTCACTTGAATTTTCTGGTCATTCAGCTCCTCTTCCTGTGGCACTAAGGCCACAAAATAAGGGGGGATGTTCTGGCGGGGGGTGTATCTGCACACTGCCATGACCTCCTTCTCCAGACATTTGGTGAGGAGAGCATTGAACAGGGTTGAGCTCCCTGGAAAACAAACATCCCTTTAGGGGTCTACATCCTAAAGGTGTCTCCTTTCCTCCTCTTAGCCCATGCTGTAAGCCTACAATTTTCTTCCGCTTTCTTAAAAGGGCTTATGATAGTTCAACAGGTAAGGGGTGATGGACCCAGAGCTGAGAGGAAAGTGGGAGCAGCAGGCGTGGAAGGGAATGAGAGACTGGATGCCTCAATTACTCCAGGTAGGGGTGTGAATTACTAATGTCAGTTCACTTTCTTTAGGCGAATGACATAAGCCCCAGTACTAATGAAAACCAATAAGGTCAAATCAGGGGGTTCATTAGCTATAGCACAGAAGAATTTAGGTCTGGACAGCAAAACAAACACAATGGCTGAGTTCATGTCACCTTTAATTGCCAACAATAGGGAAGAAGTTTGTTTTGTTTTCAAAATGTCTCTCTGATGCCTCGAAAGAATTCCATCAGAAGTAAGTTTTTTTTTTTTTAATCCTCACCCGAGGACATTTTTCCATTTTTTGTTCAGATAGAGCAGGAGGGAGAGAGAGGAAGAGAGACAGAGAGAAACATCGATGTGAAGGGACACATCGAGTGGCTGCCACCCGCACAACCAACCAGGGCCAGAGACAAACTGCAACCAAGGCACGTGCCCTTAGCGGGAATCGAACCCGGGTCTCTCTGTACCGCAGGCCGACGCTCCAACTGCTGAGCCAAACCGGCCAGGGCTAGAAGTAAGTTTTAAAATATGAATTCCATACCCGCTCCTGGACATTCGTAATGTTTATCAGCATATTATGGATCCTAAAGAAGTCTCTTTCATTTAGTTTAGTTCCATATTTCCAAAATTTATTAGAGCATATAACACTTTTTTAAAATATCCCAGTAACACACCCTATACAGTTTCCAAGCAGCACCCCTTTAGGAAATGTGACTCAGCAGGTTACCATGTGTACAACTAATTCATTTACCCTTGGTCTGTACCACTTACCATTAACCAGGGACTCCTCAGGGTACACGAACAGGGAGGGCCTCAGGTAATGGTGCTTCTTTAGCATTATCAGAGGCTTGAAACCGATGAGAACCAAACCTGGTTCATCAAACCGTTTTAGTTGTTCCGTCTCTTCTTTCTCTAGTACAATCTGACGATTCCCATAGATCTAAAAGTGGGGAACATGGAGGGGCCACATAGACAAGCTGCTGGAGATGGGAAATGGTTGCCACATAACACTAGCAAGTCAAAACCAGCTTTCTTCTAAGCAGAAGTATGGCTCAGCTCCCCAGAGACATCATCCCCCTACCACCAGAAATTAACATTTATTGAGTACCCAGCAGGTCCTTTAAGTTGGTCATCCAATGTATCTTCTGTTATAATCCTCAGTGGTAGATGTCAAAACTGTTTTACAGATGAGTGAACTAAGGCTCAATGGTTGGTAACTTGCTCCAGGTCATACAACTGAACTGGGCTTGAAACCCAGATCGGTCTGGTGCCAAAAACCATGCTCTTTAAGCAATTATTTTTTCTTTCTTCCCTCCTTTCCTTTCCTTCCTTTTCCTTTCCCTTTCCTTCTTTCCTCTTTCTCTTTCTTTCATTCATTCATTTTGTTAATCCTCACCTGAGGATATTTTCCATTGATTTTGAGATAGAGAAGGGAGGGAGGAAAGGAGGTAGAGAGAGAGAAATATCAATGTCAGAGAGACACATTGACTGGTTGGCTCCCACACAACCCCTATCTCAGCCAGGGCCGGGGATCAAACCTGCAACCCAGGTATGTGCCCTAGACCGGCAATCGAACCTGAGACCCTTTTGTCCCCAGGCTGACACTCTACCCGTTGAGCCAAACAAACCAGGGCTCTTTCCCTCATTTACCATGTACTGAGCGCTCACCCCTGACATGCAAAGGATGATCAAACTACACATATTTATTGAGAGGACCTACGTCACGTAGTGTGCTGGGTCTTGGTTAGTGTGGGAGGTAGATAACACACACACACACAAGCAAGTACTACGTCCAAACTATAATGTTTGCGTTTTGATCCTAGACATGCAATTAGTAAGAGAAGTTAGTAACAGAGTCAAATTTGGGTTTTATGAAAAACAGACCCCTCAAAATTTTCTTTAGGGACACTGGAACAAGAAAGAAACTCAGGCCCAGCTGGTGTGGCTCAGTTGGTTGAATACTGACCCATGCACTGAAAGGTTGCTGGTTTGATTCCTAGTCAGAGCACATACTTGGGTTGCAAGTCCAATCCCCAGTTGGGACGCATATAGAAGGCAACCGATCAATGTTTCTCTCTCACATCAATGTCTCTCCCTCTCCCTGTCTCTCTCTCTCTCTCTTCCTTCCTCTCTCCAAAAATGTCCTCAGGTGAGGATTAAAAACCAGAAAGAGCCCTGGCTGGTTTGGCTCAGCGGTTAGAGCACCGGCCTGCAGTCCAGAGAGACCCAGGTTCGGTTCCCGCTAAGGGCATGAACCTCGGTTGCAGTTTGTCCCCGGCCCTGATTAGTCATGCAGGTGGCAGCCACTCGATGTGTCCCTTTCACATAGATGTTTCTCTCTCTCTCCCTCCTGCTCTATCTGAATAAAAAATGAAAAAATGTCCTCGAATGAGGATCAAAAAAAATAAAATAAAAAAAACAGAAAGAAACCAAGTGACTCTGAAGAGATTTCTATGAATAAACCAACATGGGAAACTACTTACTTACAAAATGGAAAATAGCCCTGGCCAGTCTGGCTCAGCGGTTAGAGCATCGGCCCGCGGACCAGAGAGGCCCAGGTTCGGTTTCCACTAAGGGCACGTACCTCAGTTGCAGTTGGTCTGCGGCCCCAATTGGGGTCGTGTGGGTGGCAACCACTCGATGTGTCTCTCTCACATCGATGTTTCTCTCTCTCTCTTCCCTCCTCTCTCCCTCCCGTTCTATCTGAAGATAAATGCAAAAATGTCCTCAGGTGAGGATAAAAAAAAAACAAAATGGAAAATAAATTTCTTCTTCTCTCCTTCAGAAAGCAGGGAAGAACACTATGGCTTGAAATCTGTGCCCCAAAAATCATCTCGCCAGCTGAATCAAAATATCTAGTTTTAGTCACTTAGTTGATATTGCTAGGTCCTGAACTTATATATAATTTCAGAGTCTTTCCCACATTTTGCAAAAAAAGAAAGGATGATTCATTAGACTTTAATTTTAGATATCAAATCCTTCCACAGATTAAACAAAGGTGAGAAGATGAAGAACCCATAACTGGAGCAGGAGCCTTTGACAGGGAATCAAACCTGGTGCATGGGATGACACCCAACCAACTGAGCCACACCGGCCAGGGCAAGGACTAAAGTTTTCACTGGCATTTCTTTCAAACACTGGCTCTAAACTTCCTAGCTCTCATGGTATCACTGATCTAGATGCCATAGTTTCAGGGTAATGATTCTGTCTTAACAGCTTGGCTAGAAAGATGAACATGAAAAGTTAACTGGTTAGGCTGATCACTGTCTCCCCACTCTGTTAACACTTCAATGAGACAAAATTCAGTAAGTAGGCAGGCCTACCTGAGACCTCTTGGTGTCGCTTGGTAGAAGCAAACTGCCTGTATTTACATTAAATGTCCGAGTCTTGGTTTTCACTGGTTCATTTGTTTCCCGATAAAGCCTAATTGGAGGAGGTTTGAAAGCCTTCTGGACCATATTATAAATGCCGACAGTGAACGCTATATCTTTGTTGAGCTTAAACTTCAACCTAGAGGAGAGAAAAATAAAAAAGCATAGACTGAAAGATTGTATTTTCCTATCTAAAATTTCTCAATGACACTCAAGCCTTAATTTGTTTTATTCTCTCTCATAATTCTAAACAAACTTAGACTATAAATACAACTCATTTTAATAATACAGTAGAGTTTGCTGTAAAACCATCTCAGGGTCTATACCACAAAAATTAGTTTCAGAATATATTAACTATGTAAAATAATGATAAAGAATGTACTGTAATAAAAATGATTATTTTTGCCCTGGCTGGTTTCGCTCAGCAGTTAGAACATCGGCCTGTGGACCAATGAGTCACGGGTTCGATTCTGGTCTAGGGCACATACCTTGGTTGCGGTTTGTTCCCGGCCCTAGTGGGGTCAAGAAGGAGGCAACCAGTTGATGTGGCTCTATCATGTCAATGTTTCTCTCTGTCTCTCTCTCTCTCTCCCTCCCACTCTATCCGATAATAAGTGGAAGAAATAAGTGAGAAATAAAAAAAACCAAAGAGATTATTTTTACTGAGCCCAGCACTATTCCATTCCCTTTACAGCTATTCATTTATTTAATCGTCATAATAACCCTATAAGTACTGTATTATTTGTTGTTTCTGCTTGTCTAGTATCCCTTCCCTCTTCTTTTAATGATGAAACCCCAATTTTTCTTTGGGAATCACCCTTCCCCACTTCAGTTTTGGGGGAATGTTAATCAAAGTGCTATATCCTACCCTGGCCAAGTGGTGGGCATATCTGACCCAGATTCAAGCCATCAGACCTATTCTCTTGAGAGTCTGGGTCATAAGCAGTGGCCAAAGAAGGACATGGTCAGAGGGATGCTTTCTGATAGTAGCACCTTGAAAACACTGTCATTAGTTCTTGTTATCTAGATTCCTGGTGCCCCTCTGATTACTATACTACCCACCCTGTTCAGAATTTTGCTTGATTATACTGAAATTAGTCAAGAATAAGTTTCTATTGCTTGCCACCCAAAAATCTTATCATTATCCTTTTTACAGATGAAAACACTGAGGCTCAAAGATGTTATCTAAGTGGTTTAAGGGCAGAAAACCAATAAAACCTGGTGTTTATACTCTGGTAAGTCTGCCCTGACCAGGTTGGCTCAGCAGTTAGAGCGTCGGCTCGCGAACCAGAGTCCTGGGTTCGGTTCCCACTAAGGGCACATATCTCAGTTGCAGTTTGTCCCCGACCCCAGTTGGGGTCATGTGGGTGGCAACCAGTCGATGTGTCTCTCTCACATCGATGTTTCTCTCTCTCTCTTCCCTCCTCTCTCCCTCCCACTCTATCTGAAGATAAATGCAAAAATGTCCTCAGGTGAGGATTAAAAAAACTAAAATAAATAAACTCTGGTAAGTCTGATTCAAAACTCATGTACATATCTATTATGACATATTGCTCCAGAATATTCATACCAACATTGTAAGAAGCAACAGGACATCTAGAAAGTGTGCTACATAATAATGACAATGTGCAAAATATTTACAATATGATACTGTGAAAAAAGGCATAACACGAAAGTAACCCGTTATGCATTCTTTTTTTTTTTTTTTATCCTCACCCGAGGACATTTTCTCATTTTTTTGTTCAGGTAGAGTGGGAGGGGGAGAGAGGAACAGAGAGAGAGAGAGAAACATCGATGTGAAAGGAACACATCGAGTGGCTGCCACCGCACGACCGACCAGGGCCGGGGACAAACTGCAACCGAGGTACGTGCCCTTAGCGGGAACTGAACCCAGGTCTCTCAGGACCGCAGGTCGACGCTCTAACCGCTGAGCCAAACCGGCCAGGGCCCGTTATGCATTCTTTTCAAGCACATCTGGAACATTCTCCAGGATAGACCATATGCTGGGCCACAAAACAAGTCTAAATACATCCAGAAAGACTGAAATCATACAAAGTATGTTCTTTAACCAAAATGGAACTAAGTTAGAGATCCACAACAAAAAAAATTCTGGGAAAACCTCAAATGTTTAAAAATTAAACAATAGCCCTGGCCGGTTTGGCTCAGCGGTTAGAGCGCCGGCCTGCAGTCCGGAGAGACCCGGGTTCGGTTCCCGCTAAGGGCATGTACCTCGGTTGCAGTTTGTCCCCGGCCCTGGTTGGTTGTGCGGGTGGCAGCCACTCGATGTGTTCCTTTCACATCGGTGTTTCTCTCTCTCTCTCTGTTCCTCTCTCTCCCTCCCACTCTACCTGAACAAAAAATGGAAAAATGTCCTCGGGTGAGGATAAAAAAAAAAAAAAAAAATTAAACAATATACTTCTAAATAACCCAGGAGGTCAAAGACAAAATCACAAAGAAAATTTAAAATTACTTTGAATTAAATGAAAGTGAAAACACAACATATCAAAAGGTAGCGAATACAGCTAATAACAATGTTCAGAAGGAAATTTATGGCTTTAAACACCTTTATCAAGAAGAAAAAAAAGGCCCTGGCCAGTTTGGCTCAGCAGTAGAGCATCAGCCCATAGGCCAATGAGTCCCGGGTTCGATTCCAGCCAAGGGCATGTACCTCAGTTGCGGTTCCTCCCTGGCCCTGGTTGGGGTCATGCGGAAGGTAACCAGTCAATGTGTCCCTCTCACATTGATGTTTCTCTCTCTCTCCCTGTCTCTCCCTTTCTCTTTACCCAAAGATAAATAGAAAATATCTGCCCTGGCCAGTTTGGCTCAGCGGTTAGAGCGTCGGCCTGCGGTCCTGAGAGACCCGGGTTCGGTTCCCGCTAAGGGCGCGTACCTCGGTTGCAGTTTATCCCGGGCCCTGGTCGGTTGTGTGGGTGGCAGCCACTTGATGTGTTCCTTTCACATCGATGTTTCTCTCTCTCTCTCTGTTCCTCTCTCTCCCTCCCACTCTACCTGAACAAAAAATGGATAAATGTCCTCGGGAGAGGATAAAAAAAAAAAATAGAAAATATCCTAGGGTGAGGATAAAAAGAAAAAACAGAAGAAGAAGAAAAAGTGTCCAATTAGTAACTCAATCTTTACTGTTGTGGAATGTTTCAGAGTGAGTGATTTTATTTTATTTATTTATTTATTATTTATTTTCTTTATTGATTTTCAAGAGAGAGGAAGGGACAGGGAAAGAGATAGGAACATCGATGAGAGAGAACATTGACTGGCCGTCTCCTGCATGCCCCCCATCAGGGATTTGGCCCACAACCTGGGCACGTGCCCTCACCAGGAATTGAACCAGCGACCTCTTGGTGCAGGGGTCAGTGCTCAACCACTGCACCACACTGGCCAGGCATGAGTGAGTATTGAATTTAAAGAAGAGAACATTTTTTTGCCTGGTCAGTATGGCTCAGTGGATTGAGTGTCGTCCCATGGAGAGGTTCCGGTTCAATTCCCAGTCAGGGCACATGCCTGGGTTGTAGGCTCGATCACCAATAGGGGGCATGCAGGAGGCAGCCGATGCATGTTTCTCATATCGATGTTTCTATCTCTCCTTTCCTCTTTCCCTAAAAAATCAATAAGAACATATTTTTTTAAAAAGAAACTATTCATTAAAAATAAATAAATAAATAAAAATAAAGAAGATAACATTTTTAACAAGTTACAACTAGTTAAACAATTTACAAAGGTATAGTGGTTCACATGGTGGAAAGAACACTGCTTTGGGACAGAGTCCTAACTATAAATGTTGGCTCCTGGGGCAGACACCTATTATGCCTCCAGATCAATTTGGTAATGCATGATGTGCCCCAGGTGAGTACTAGTAACCGATGGCATTACTAATAACACCAACCATTTGGTGGCTTCCTATTTTAAATTATTCTGGCTGACTCAGTTAAACTCAGTTGTCTAAAGGCTGCTGTAGGAGAGCTGACAATAAATGCAACCAATTAAAAAGCTGCACAATCTTCAAATGTAATTTTTAAAAACTGCTGTGTCCTCTGAATTTCAGCATCCCGGAAAAAAGCACTGGCCAATGTGGTCTACTCAAGCTTCAAGTGACCTTGGTTCTATATCTAACCCAAAAGAGCAAATCCATTACTGCCTCCACCCAGTCTCACATTTTCACATTTATGAACTATAAGGTACCTTTCGACTTTGAAAATGTCATAACTCTAAGTTAAGGTAAAGTTACAGTATAACATCACAGTTTACAACATCATAGTTTATGTCATAACTTATCAAGGAAAATATGGAAGCCCACAGTGCAAAACAAGTTGCTTGATATGTTTAACTTCATCTGAAATGTCTTAAGGTTAGATGTTATTAATGGGTAGATTTCAATCTACTTCAAAGAGTTGTCATTAAAAATGAAGTAAGTTAATTTAATAAATTAATTAAATAAGTTGTCATTGAACTCAGGACAATGCCTGGCACATAATAACCATGCAATAAAGTAATTATATTATTTGATTATAGCAAGAACAGTGTAATAATTTTCTAGGTCTTTGACCTAATGCATTATTAGTTCTCAAATAGCTCCAACGTATTTTTACTCATATCAAATATCCTATAATGACACTTTCACAAAATAGTAAGAATAGCTAACATTTATAAATAATCTCTATGTGCCAAGCACTGTGCCTAGGTTATCCCATTTAAACATTACAGCAGTCCAATGAGGAGGCATCAGTTTTGCTCCCATTTTACTGAGGCTCAGAGGAGTTACATGCCTTGCCTCAGGCCACACAGCAGAGGGACTAGCACAAGAATCCAAGCAATCTGTCTCTATTTTATGCACCCTCACCAAAATGTGTAGATTTCCAAACTGTCATAGTAACAATACGTCATCATTTCAGAATGGGGGAAGAGGTAACAGGGTGCCTTTTTGAGGGAAGAGAAAGTTCCTAGGGGAAGGATAGCAATGACAACAGTACGACTGCAGCAAGGAGCTAGATTGTGGTTCCTTACAGTAATGTCATGGGTCCTCTAGTAGAGGACCAGTAAGCTCTTGAAAACTGTTTCAAAATCACCAATGGTCATATTCTCCTGTACTGAGGAAACTAGTCTAAAATGAAAGCCTGATGCTCTTTAGAAAGAAATGTTGAGGAGCCCTTAGGATTCCAATGCCAAAGCTCTCTAAAAGAAGATAATCTAACAATTGGTTTCCTATTGGTCTCAAGTTTATAAGAAATCAGAATAACTCAATTTTATTTTATTTTTTTTATTATTATTTTATTTATTTTTTTATCCTCACCCGAGGACATTTTTTCATTTTTTGTTCAGACAGAGCGGGAGGGAGAGGGGGAGAGAGAGAGAGAGAGAGAGAGAGAGAGAGAGAGAGAAACATCAATGTGAAAGGGACACATCGAGTGGCTGCCACCTGCACGACCCAACCAGGGCCGGGGACAACTGCAACCGAGGTACATGCCCTTAGCTGGAACCGAACCCGGGTCTCTCTCTGGACCCGGGCCGACGCTCTACCGCTGAGCCAAACCAACCAGGGCAGAATAACACAATTTTAACAATGGTAACAGTGGTTCTCTAATTTAATTTGTTCTAGAAGGCTGTTCAAGAAGCAATTTGTTTGAAAACTGAATAATTTTTTCCCATTAGAAATAATATACATTGAATCAATCCGTTCCAGATCCCCAAATGATTCCGTTTTATCTTTTCTTATATATGTATGTATGTATGTGTGTGTGTGTACATATATATACACATATATATATGTTAGAAATGTTGTATATATGTCTAACGTACTGTTTAATCTATGAATAAACACTTCTTTTGTTAAATGTATCGAACCACCCCTACTGGCCTTACACGAATCACTTTCAGCACTCGTTCCAGGGGTGTCTTTCAGGAGGTCAGCGTGCAGCATCTTTGCTTTTTCACTTATCATTGCCTCCAAAAGGCTATCACTGGCTAACTGTTTTTTGTTTATCCAAATTAACAACATTTTTTCTGCCTCTTCAATTGCCTGTGATCATTGTTTCATGAGCACTTTCACACCGTTATCAACATCAACACTCTTCATGGCTTCTTTATGTTTTAAAATTGTGCTAAATATTCTTTTTGTTGTTGTTGTTTGTTTTTTGTTTTTTTTATCCTCACCTGAGGACATTTTTCCATTTTTTGTTCAGATAGAGCGGGAGGGAGAGAGAGAAAGAAAGAGAAACATCGATGTGAAGGGACACATCGAGTGGCTGCCACCCTCATGACCAACCAGGGCCAGGGACAAACTGCAACCGAGGTACGTGCCCTTAGCGGGAACCGAACCCGGGTCTCTCTGTACCGCAGGCCGACGCTCCAACCGCTGAGCCAAACCGGCCAGGGCTTGTGCTAAATATTCTAAGAAAAAAGAATAAAGCTGAAGTATCACACTATCTCATTTTAAATTATACTACAGAGCTACGATAATCAAAACATCATAGTATTGGCAGAAAAACAGACAGAGATCAGTGGAACATATGGGTAGATAATTTTTTAAAAGGAGCCAGAAACAAACAATGGAGAAAAGGAAGTCTCTTCAATAAATGGTGCTGGGGCCCTGGCAGTTTGGCTCAGAAGTTCAAAGCATCGGCCTGTGGACCAAAGAGTCGTGGGTTCGATTCCAGTCAAAGGCACATACCTCAGTTGTGGTTCAGCCCCCAGTCCTGGTTGGGGTCATGCAGGAGGCAGCTAATCGATGTTTCTCACATCAGTGTTTCTCTCTCTCTCCCTCCCTCCCACTCTATCTAAAGATAAATGAAAAATTTCCTCAAGTGAGGATTAAAAAAAGATGTTCAACCTCACAAGCAATTAGGGAAATACAAATCAAAACTGCAACAAGATACCACCTCACATGTGTTAGAATGGCTATTATCAACAAGAGAAGTATCATGGAAATGTACACTTGAAAACTACACGATCCTATTAACCAATGTTACCCCAATAAATTAAAAAGAAATTGTATTAATCATCCAATTTGCCAGCAACAAAAGCAGAAAAACAAAAATATTCACAGCACAATTTCCTGAAATGTTAACAATGTGAGGTTTAACAGTAAACTGACTCACACTCATACATTCTCTCCTTTGTTTGTCACCTGAGAGATGCTTTTTGTCATGCTGAGCTATCAGCATGACAGAGTTGTTGAGCAAGAATCAAATTTTTGTTCAACAACCGAGATACTTTTTCCATGAACAACTTGGTGGAGAACCGACTGTTCAAGATGGGAGATGTTCGAGAACCAAGGTTTCACTATAACTAACATTTATTGAGTTTTGGCTCTATACCAAGTACTATTGTTATCCCCAATTTACAGAGAAGAAGTAGACAATAAACTAGTGAGAGCAAATGAGGATACTGTTAGGCCACAACTGTTTAGTGGGGGCTGTGTTATTCTGAAGAAATATACCAGCGCTTTCAAGGGAAGAAAAGCAAATAACTTGTGCTATCCTGAAATCAAGCAAGATTTTTAGAGGGACACAGTGAGGCAGAAGCACAGCCTAGAGTTAAGTAACCGGGGAGGTCAAAGCCATGCATTGTTTATGATCAGTTAGGGGACTTGCAGGCAGTTAGCCCAGGCTCAGTGCCCACCTGCTGAGTGCACGCTTCCTGGTCTCCTTGGCTCGAACTGTCCTCAACAGGTCTTCTAGATTGCTCGATTCCTTGAAGTGAACCCTTAGGTCCTCATCCTCTGCTGTGCTGATGATATCTCTGTAGAATAAGGATATGTCAAAGCCACCACGTTTCTTCAGGTGCATCAAGTCAAGGAAGATACCTGGGTCAAGGATAACAAAAGGGAGGGGAAACAATTTTCAGCAAGAATTTTTTTCAGTTAAGCTCAAATATGCTTTTTAAGAACTAGACTGATTATTGCATTTCAGGAATTAGAGAAAGTGGCTAAGGGAATCAGCTGCTAGAATGACTTCAAACAACATATTCAAATAACCACCATCCACAATAAGCATTAAAATCGAGAAAATCTTGCTCTAATAGAGTCCTTTAGACTGCTAATGGCCTGGCCATTTTCTTTTTTTAATTGTTTATTTTTTTATCCTCACGGAGGACATTTTTGCATTTATCTTCAGATAAAGCGGGAGGGAGCGAGAGAAACCTCGATGTGAGAGACACATCAAGTGGCTGCCACCCACACAACCCCAACCGGGACTGGGGACAAACTGCAACTGAGGTACATGCCCTTAGTGGGAACCAAACCTGGGACTCTCTGGTCCACGAGCAGACGCTCTAACTGCTGAACCAAACTGGCCAGGACTGGCCTGGACATTTTCTTTTTTTTTGAATAATCACCCGAGGACATTTTTCTATTTATCATCAGATAGCGTGAGAGGAGGGAGAGAGAGAGAAATATCAATGTGAGAGAGACACATCGACTGGTTGCCTTCCGCATGACCCGACCAGGGCCAGGGATGAACCGCAACCCAGGTACGTGACCTTGATCTGAATCAAACCCGCGACTCATTGGTCCAAGGGCCAACACTCTAACCACTAGGCCAAACCAGCCATGGCTGGCCTGGTCATTTTCACTGGGAATGTTCCACAGGTGTCTCCTCCAGCTTCACTTTATTCTTTCATTTTACTCTGAACAGTGAAATGCAAACATTTGCCATCAGCTATAAAGAAACAATAAAATTGTCAATTTAAAAGAATGGGGGAGCCCTGACCAGTTTGGCTCAGTGGTTAATGTCAGTCCTAGGACTGAAGAGTAGTGGGTTCGATTCCCCGTCAAGGGCACATAGCTGGGTTGCAGGTTCAATCCCCAGCCCTGTGCTGGAGGCAACTAATCAATGTGTCTCTCTCACACTGATGTTTTTCTCTCACCCCCCCACTTCCTTCCACTCTATCTAAAAATCAATGGAAAAATATCCTCAGGTGAGGAGTAACCCTAATAATAATTTAAAAATAAAAGTAAATAAAAGAATGGGGAAATGCCCACCTGTGTCACGGAGATCCCCAGCTTTGGTCCTGGCCCGGCTGGCTTTGGCACTATCATTGCCATGGGGGTCATCTTCATTGGTGAATAGCATGATCCTCTTATGGCTCATCTTGAACTGGACATCACTAAAGAGGTTGGCACAGACCCACAGCACTTCACTTAGTGAGTAGTCACAGCCATAGCCAATCAGGTCTTGGAAATGTTTCTTCCCCTGCTGCCCCTTAAACTGCGCAAGCTCTAACACTCGTTTAGCACCTGATCAGAGACAGGGAGTCAAATGGGCAGAAAAGTCGCTGTCAGTGGACACCTTTACAAAGCCAACAGAAGAAGGGCCTAAGGTTCCTTTCTCACCCGAGCTGTTGAACCCATACAGCAAAAGTCCACATCCCAGTAAGAACCCCCTAGTGGAGGGAAGCATACTTTTAGGCAAGGTGTCACCTGCTTCCTTCTCTACATCTCTTTGTTTGGGGTTGTAACCTTCTCATATAAGGGAAAAATTAATCATAGAATACTCTTGACCTGGATTATCCAACTCCTGTAAGACGTAAATGTTTTTGAAATTCACTGAGTTTCTGTCCTTCTCGGTACCATAGAACACCACTGCCAAGAGATCTCGATCACTGCTTATGATTTTACTGGTGTACACACTCTGGATACACTGAAAGAATAAAAAATAAAAATTTAATTAATGCCAGCCAGTGTGGCTCAGTGGCTGAGCATCGACCCATGCACCAAGAGGTCACCAATTCGATTCCCAGTCAGAGCACATGCTCAGGTTGTGGGCCCGATTCCCACTGGGGAACATGCAGGAGGCGGCCAATCTTCTCTCTCATCGAAGTTTCTAACTCTCTCCCTTCTCCTGTCCTCTCTCTCTCAAAACAATAAAGAAAAAAATTCAATTAATGTTTACTTCCCACTAAACTTAAACTCTGTAAGTGCCTGGGACATAGTGCTCGATATGTATTTGCTAAATGTGTGCATGGCATTAGAATAAAGTATGACCTCTACCCTCAGGAAATTCATGAGTCAGCGAGAGTGATGGGCATATACATTACACTTTAACAAAAAGCAGAGTGTGATAGGTATATAATAGAAGTATAAGTAGTCCTTACCATAAGAAGTCAGAAATTAAAAACACATATATACTCAAGGAGGAAACTCTGCTGTATGGAAAAAGCCCAGTAATGAAATCAGAAAACCTGGATATTAGTCTTGCTGATGTCACACAATTAACTGGCTAGGTTTGGACAGGCCACTTGATGTTTCCTTAAGTAGCTTAATTCTAAGAAATAGATTTACATTTATAAAATAATTACGTGTATAAAAGGTTTAAGCTGCCCTGGTCAGTTTGGCTCAGCAGTAGAGCGTTGGCCTGCAGATCAATGAGTCACAGGTTTGACTGAGATCAAGGGCACATACCTCAGTAGTGGTTCATCCCAGGCCCTGGTTGGGGTCGTACGGGAGGCAGCCAGTCAATGTGTCTCTCTCACATCAATGTTTCTCTCTCTCTCTTTCTTCCTCCCTCCCACTCTATCTGAAGATAGACAGAGAAATATCCTTGGGTAAGGATTTAAAAAAAATAAAATTAAGAAATAAAGGTTTAAGCTAACAATAAGTACATGTGACCTGAAAATAAGTCTATAACTACTAACAGCATGTGCTGAAATAAACTTTGCTTAATTACACAATTAAAAACATCAGTATTCCAGGAGAGGTCTAACTCCCCATTTAACCTAATATCAGCATCTGGTATATCAGTGTCTCAGGAGAGTTGGTCAGTCCTGATGGCCTATTTAATTCTGGGGGCACTGACAAAATTAAGTTTCTGAATCTGAAAAGCTGAGGAATAAACCAATCATGGTGACCCCTCTATGTCCTGCCTGAGCCTCTAACTGGCCTTCCCCCATAGCAATTCTCTTGTTAAATGCACAATTTATAGTATGTTACTCATTAACAATAACCTGCGTGGCAAGCAGTCATTTTTATAAATACTTCAATCTATTTTTTTAGTTCAGATCCAGAATAAAAGGGGCCTGTTCCCAACACTGCTATTCTTTTTCAGCTGCCAGTATAGATAGCCATTCTAGGAGGCTAACCACCATTTATCATTCACAAACAAACTTTTCAAAGAGTCCATATTTTTTAAACTGATATTAGTACTTTGAGGATTGGTTTGTTTTAAACAGAAAGGTGGTCTTACCTGGATGCTCATGTCAAAAGGAGTCAATTCATCTTCATCCTCCAATTTAAACATGGCCTTAGAAGCATCAACCAAAAAAATCAAACTATCTCTTCCTGAATATGTATATTCTCCTACAGGAAAAAACATGGAAGCAAATGTTTGCCCTTATGTTCATTTTTATCATGTTTATTATTTATATAAAACAAACAGAGAAAAACCCATTAAGCAAAAGTATAACCTGATAATTATAATGTGAACACCCTTAAAACCACCATCCATATTTAACCTTGGCAGTCACCCAAGAAGCCCTCTCCATGTTCCCTCCCAATTACAATGCCCACCCTTCTCCCAAGAGTAACCACTATCCTGACTTCACTTCCTTACTTTATTTATTTATTTTTTTTCCTATTTTTTCTTCAGATAGAGTGGGAGGGAGAGAGAGGAAGAGAGAGAGACAGAGAGAAACATTGACGTGAAAGGGACACATCGAGTGGCTGCCACCCACACGACCAACCAGGGCCGGGGACAAACTGCAACCAAGGTACGTGCCCCTAGCGGGAACCGAACCCGGGTCTCTCTGGACCGCAGGCCAACGCTCTAACCGCTGGGCCAAACCGGCCAGGGCTCATTGATGTTTCTATCTCTCTCTTCCTCTCTTCCTTCCTCTCTCTCTAAAATCAATAAAATAAATTAATAAATAAAATTAAGAAAAAGTTTTTGAAGCCTCTTAAGCTATAGATAACCCCTTCTATCTTTTGCTTCATAAACAATTTATTTGTTGAAGAACCAGGATGTTGTGTCATGTGTAGTTTTCCACCTTTTGGAGTTTGCTGATTGCATTCTTCTGGTGCAGATTAACATAATCCTCTGTATTTCCTACTAATAGCCTAGAGAGCTTCACCAGATTCAGGTTTTCTCTTTTTAGCATTATTATATCAAGGGTGATGTGTTTGTCTGGTTGTCTCCTTTTTTCACACTGCTGCTTAATACAATAAATTTAATTAGCCATCTTTTATTAAAACAACATGGCCATATGTGTCAAGAGCCTTAAACAAAATTCTACCTTGACCTCTTAAAAATCTATCTTAAGAAAGTAAGATATGGCCTGACCAGTGTGACTCAGTGGTTGAGCATCGACCCATGCACCAAGAGGTTGCTGGTTCAATTCCCAGTCAGGGCACATGCCCAGGTTGTGGGCCCGATCCCCAGTGGGGGACAAGCAGGAGGCAGCCAATTGATGTTCTCTCTCATCGATGTTTCTATCTCTCTCTCCCTGTCCCTTCCTCTCTCTCTAAAAATTAATAAAGAGAGGATTCCAAAATGGCAACTGAGGGAATGGAAGCTACACAGGCCGTCTCCCAGGACCAAACTGGAATTACAACTAAAACACAGACAAATCGACGGGAAAAAGCAACAGAAAAGCAGCTTGGAGGACCATATAACCAGGGACACTGACTCAATCCTGGTAGGATTGCAGAGGCACAAGAGGGGGACTGGGAGCCCACAGACAGCAGTGGCCTTAGCTGTGAGCAACGCCCTTGGGGTTACACTCCCAACCGGTTCCATAGCGCAGAGCCGGGACAGACGCTAAAATAGCCACAGCCACACCTTGGGCTCTGGCAGAGGGAGGGCGGACTGGACTGGAACTGTGTAGGGACACTCGGGATTTGGAGGGCACTCAGAGCTTTTGCTGAATTGCAGCCACGCAGGACGGTGGCCATCTTGCTCTTTACCAGGGCTCTGGGGAGAGGCAGCGGCCCCTCCCTCCGAGATTAAACCCCACCCAGGTGGGCCAGTGAAATGCAAATTGAGGCTCACTAACAACCAGCATCTGCCCCACCCTCAGGAAATCCCCTTACACTGAGTACCTGAGGGAGTTTTTCATTCAACTGAGAAACCAAGGCTCTTCAAGTAACTGCTAGTGATAGCGTCCAGGCAAAGAGCTGGAGGATAACTAAACCATTCTTGGGCTAGCAATTCTAACCAGGAAGGTGGAACTTGATACTGGTGTTTTTCATGGGTCCTCCCTCACTCATCCAAACCCGGGAGAGGGAGCCACAAACAGCAGAACACGAACACCCACAGGGAAAATTTGGGAGGCTCCAAAGCCCACGGTGGTAGCCAAAATGGTGAAACACAGAAACAAAAGCCAAATGAAAGAACAAGAGACCTCTCCCGAAGATGAGATAAATGTGGAGCAGTTAAGCAAGTTAACAGAGCTAGAATTCAGAGCCGTGATCTTGAGGAAGCTCAACAGCATGAGTAAACACATAAAGATGTTGAAAACCAACCAATTGGAAATTAAAAACCACCAAAAAGAAATCAAGAATGACTTATCAGAAATAAAGAACACACTGGAAGCTCTAAACAGCAGAGCAGAGGAAGATGAGGACTGGATCAGTGAATTAGAAGACAGGGTAGAAAAAAATCAACCAATCAGAAAATCAAAAGGAAAAAATGATTAAAAAACAGGAAGACAGCTTAAGAGAACTGTGGGACAACTGGAAACATAATAATATTCGCATCATTTGAGTCCCCGAAGAAGAAGAAAATGAGCAAAAGTTAGAAAATATATTTGAAGAAATAGTGACAGAAAACATCCCTAATTTGGTGAAGGAAGAAGGCATTCAACTTCAAGAGGCACAGAGGGCCCCAAGTAAGAAGAACCCAAACAGGCCCACACCAAGACACATAATAATTAAAAGGCCAAAATTTAAAGACAAAGAGAGATCCTAAAAGCAGCAAGAGATAAGCAACAGGTTACCTACAAAGGAACCCCCATAAGGCTCTCAGCTGACTTCTTAAAAGAAACACTGCAGGCCAGAAGGGAATGGCATGAAGTAATCAAGGTCATGAAAAACAAGGATCTGAATCCAAGACTACTCTACCCAGCAAGGTCATCATTCAAAATAGAAGGTCAAATAGCTTCCCAGACAAAAAAAAAAGGCTAAGGGAATACATTAGCACCAAACCAGCACTGCAAGAAATGTTAAAAGGACTGCTGTAATTAGTAGAAGAAATAGGAAGAAAAATATAACCACACTAAACAAAAATGGCAATAAATAAGTACATATCAATAATCACCTTAAATGTAAATGGACTGAATGCTCCGATAAAAAGACACAGAGCAGCTGATTGGATAAGAAAGCATGACTCATCTATATGTTGTTTACAAGAGACCCGCCTCACAACAAAAGACTCACATAAGTTGAAAGTGAAGAGATGGAAAAAAATCTTCCAAGCAAACGGAAAGGGAAAAAAAGCTGGGGTAGCAATACTCATATCTGATCAAACAGATTTCAAAATGAAGGCCATAACGAGAGACAATGGAGGCCACTACATAATATTGAAAAGATCTATCCAACATGAAGATATAACCTTGATAAACATATATGCACCCAATATAGGAGCACCAAAATATATTAAAACTCTTCTGGAGGACTTCAAAGGAGAAATCGACAGCAATACATTCATAGCAGGGGACTTCAACACCCTGCTGACACCACTGGATAGATCCTCTAGACAAAAAATTAGCAAGGAAACAGAGACTCTAAATGAAGCACTAGACCAAATGGATTTAATAGATATCTACAGAGCCCTGGCCAGTTTGGCTCAGGGGTTAGAGTGTTGGCCTGCGGTACGGAGAGACCCGGGTTCGGTTCCCGCTAAGAGCACGTACTTCGGTTGCAGTTTGTCCCCGGCCCTGGTTGGTCGTGCGGGTGGCAGCCACTCGATGTGTCCCTTCACGTCAATGTTTCTCTCTCTCTCTCTCTTCCTCTCTCTCCCTCCCACTCTATCTGTACAAAAAATGGAAAAATATCCTCGGGTGCGGATATAAATAAATAAATAGATATCTACAGAGAATTACACCACAAAACTACAGAATTCACATTCTTCTCAAGTGCACATGGGACATTCTCAAAGACAGATTACATGTTATGACACAAACTAAATCTCTACAAGTCAAGAAGACTGAAATTATATCAAGCATCTTCTCAGGTCACAATAGCATGAAACCAGAAATCAGTTGCAACAAAAACATGCAAACACATTTGAACACATAGAGGCTAAAGAGCATGTTATTAAACAATAAATGGATTACCGAGGAGATGAAGGAAGAAATTAAAAACTTCCTGGAAACCAATGAAAATGAACACACAACAACACAAAATTTATGGGATGCAGCGAAAGCAGTTCTGAGAAGGAAGTACATAGCACTACAGACCCACCTCAAGAAACAAGAAAAATTTCTAATTGACTGTCTAACCTCACAACTTAAACAATTAGAAAGCAAACAAAAAGAAAACCCCAGAGCAAGTAGAAGGAAGGAAATAGTAAAGATCAGAGCAGAAATAAATGACATAGAGACCAAAAAAACAATTCAAAGGATCAATGTAACAAAGAGCTGGTTCTTTGAAAAGATAAACAAGATTGACAGACCCTTAGCTAGACTCACCAAGAAACAAAAAGAAAGAACCCAAATACACAAAATCAGAAATGAAAGAGAAGTAACAACTGACACCACAGAAATACAAAAGATTGTTAACAACTACTATGAACAATTATATGGCAACAAATTCGAAAACCTAACTGAAATGGATAAATTTATAGACACACACAGTCTCCCAAAACTGGACTGGGAAGAGATAGAAAACTTGAACAGACCAATAACAACTAAGAAAATTGAAGAGGTAATCAAGGCTCTCCCAGGAAAGAAAAGCCCAGGCCCAGATGGCTTCACGGGGGAGTTTTACCGAACATTCAAAAAGGAACTAACACCCATTCTCCTCAAACTATTTCAAAAAATTCAAGAAGATGTAAGACTTCCAGACTCATTTTATGAGGCCATAAAATGGAATGGTTCTAATTCCAAAACCAGAAAAAGACACTACAAAGAAAGAAAACTACAGGACAATATCCCTGATGAACATAGATGCCAAAATCCTGAACAAAATACTAGCAAATCGGATCCAGCAATACATCAAAAAAAGTATTCACCATGACCAAGTGGGATTCATCCCAGGAATGCAAGGCCGGTACAATATTCACAAATCAATAAATGTGATACACCACATAAACAAAATGAAGAATAAAAACCACATGATTATATCAATAGATGCTGAAAAAGCATTTGACAAAATCCAGCATCCATTTCTGATAAAAATACTCAGCAATGTGGGAATAGAGGGATCATATCTTGACATAATAAAGGCCATATATGAAAGACCTACAGCCAACATCATACTCAATGGGCAGAAACTAAAAACATTTCCCTTAAGAACAGGAACAAGACAGGGATGCCCACTTTCACCATTCTTATTTAACATGGTGCTGGAAGTCTTAGCCACAGCAATCAGACATGAAGAAAAAAGAGAAGAGATCCAAATTGGAGAGGAGGAAGTGAAACTGTCATTATTTGCAGATGACATGATATTATACATAGAAAACCCTAAAAACTCCATCAAAAATCTACTAGACTTAAGAAATGAATTTGGCAAAGTAGCAGGATACAAAATTAACGTCAAGAAATCGACGGCATTCTTATACACCAATAATGAACTCACAGAAAGAGAAACTGAAAAAACAATTCCATTTACCATCGCAGCAAAAAAATTAAGATACCTAGGAATAAACTTAACAAAAGAAGTAAAAGACCTATTTGCAGAAAGCTATGGAACATTGAAAAAAGAAATAAAGGAAGATATAAAAAAGTGGAAGCACATACCTTGTTCATGGATTGGAAGAATTAACATCATTAAAATGTCCATATTACTCAAAGTAATCTATAGATTCAATGCAATCCCCATCAAAATACCAACGACATATTTCACAGAACTAGAACAAATACTTCAAAAGTTCATATAGAACCAAAAAAAACCCCGAATAGCCACAGCAATCTTGAAAAAGAAGGACAAAGTAGGTGGGATCACAATACCAGATAGTATCAGGTTATACTACAAAGTGACTGTAATCAAAACAGCCTGGTACTGGCACAAGAACAGGCATATAGACCAGTGGAACAGAATAGAGAACCCAGAAATGGACCCAAGACACTATGCTCAATTAATATTTGACAAAGGAAGCAAGAGCATACAATGGAGTAAAGACAGCCTCTTTAATAAATGGTGTTGGGAAAATTGGACAGCTATATGCAAAAAAATGAAACTAGACCATCAACTTACACCACACACAAAAATAAACTCAAAATGAATAAAAGCCTTAAATGTGATCCGTGAATCCATAAAAATTTGAGAAGAAAATGTAGGCAACAAAATATCGGACATCATACGTAGCAGAATTTCACTGATACATCACCTAAGGCAACAGAAACAAAGAAAAAAATGAACACATGGGACTTTGTCAAACTAAAAAGCTTCTGCACAGCAAAAGAAACAACCATCAAAGTGGAAAGGCAACCCACTGTATGGGAAAACATCATTGCCAATGATACATCAGATAAGGGGTTAATTTCCAAAATATATAGAGTACTCATACAACTCAACAAAAGGAAGACAAAGAACCCAATTAAACAATGAGCAGAAGAGCTGAATAGACACTTCTCCAAACAGGACATAAAAATGGCCAAGAGACATATGAAGAAATGCTCAACATCACTAATCATCAGAGAGATGCAAATTAAAACAACAATGAGGTATTACCTCACACCTGTCAGAATGGTTACCCCATCAACAAAGCTTCAAACAAGTGTTGGCGAGGGTGGAGAAAAGGGGACTCTAGTACACTGCTGGTGGGAATGCAGACTGGTGCAGCCACTATGAAAAACAATATGGTGTTACCTTAAATAATTAAAAATTGGCCCTGGCCAGTTTGGCTCAGTGGTTAGAGCGTCAGCCTGCGGTCCCGGGTTCGGTTCCTGCTAAGGGCACGCACCTCAGTTGCAGTTTGTCCCCGGCCCTGGTTGGGTCATGCAGGTGGCAACCACTCGATGTGTCCCTTTCACGTCGATGATTCTCTCTCTCTCTCTTTACCCCTCCCACTCTATCTGTATAAAAAATGGAAAAATGTCCTTGGGTGAAGATTAAAAAAAAAAAATTAAAACTTGAACTGCCATTTAACCCAGTGATCTCACTTCTAGGAATATACCCTAAGAAGCCTGAAACACCAATCAGAAAGAATATATATACCTCCATGTTCATAGCAGCACTATTTACAATAGCTAAGATCTGGAAACAGCCCAAGTGTCCATCAGTAGACACATGGATAAAAAAGCTGTAGTACATATACACAATGGAGTACTATGCAGCTGCAAGAAAGAAATATCTCTTATTCTTTGAGACAAAATGGAGGGACCTGGAAAGTATTATCCTAAGTGAAACAAGCCAAGCAGAAAAAGACAAATACCACATGATCTCACTTATTTGTGAAATATAATGGACATAACAGTCTGAGGAATAGGATAGACCCAGAAACATGGAAGTAGGGTACAGACTGACAACCCTTAGAAGAGGGCCTGGTGGGGGGAGGGAAGAGATAAACCACAGAACTTATATGCATGTACGCATAACCAATGGACATGGACAACAAAGCCGAAACGGGGTGGGGGGAATGGGGAGGAGGGTGTCAATGGGGTAAAAAAAGGAGAAACATCTGTAACAAAAATAAAATTATAAAAATAATAAAAATTAATAAAGAGCACTGGCCAGTTTGGCTCAGAGGTTAGGGTGTCAGCCTGCAGTCTAGAGAGACCTGGGTTCAGTTCCCACTAAGGGCACATACCTAGGTTGCAGTTTGTCCCTGGCCTTGGTTGGTCGAGCAGGTGGCAGCCACCTGATTTGTCCCTTTCACGTTGATGTTTCGCTCTCTCTCTCTCTTCCTCTCTCTCCCTCCCACTCTATCTGAACAAAAAATGGAAAAATGTCCTTGAGTAAGGATTAAAAAAAAAGTTCCCCATAACAACCAACACATAGTCTGAAAAATTACCGGTCTTTAAAAATATATAATAATTAATAAAGAAAAAAAATTTTTTAAAAATTAAGATATGGAAAAACCCTTATGTAAAATTTTTCACAATGTTATTTATTAAAGTAAGGAATTGAAAATAAAATATCCAACAGGAAATAGAATGAATAAATTATAGTAAATTTAAAATGAATTATAAAGACTATATGTACTTACATGGAAAAATATATCTATGATAAATAAAGAAAAAGTCAGAACATAAAATTATGTATATATGTTTTAAATTCCTTTTGTAAGAAAACTGGTGTAAATTAAAATTTAAAGTGCATATGCACTATTACAACTATATCAAAAATCAGACACAAAGAAAAACAGATATATGTAGTTAGGAAATATGCAGAATGAAGGCACAAGAAGAAAATATGCAAAATGCCAAATGCTGGTAGTAGTTGTGTTAGGATGGTAGATTATATAGATTACAGTAAACTTTCTCTATTTTCAATATTTCCTGTATGTTTGTCCATTTTAATAAAAACACACTCAAGTTTTCTATCCAGCCCTGGCCGGTTTGGCTCAGCGGTTAGAGCGTCGGCCTGCGGTCCCGAGAGACCCGGGTTTGGTTCCCGCTAAGCGCATGTACCTCAGTTGCAGTTTGTCCCCGGCCCTGGTTGGGTCGTGTGGGTGGCAACTACTTGATGTGTCCCTTTCACGTGATGTTTCTCTTTCTCTCTCTCTCTCTCTCTCTCTCTCTCTCCCCCTTCAACTCTATCTGAACAAAATATCGAAAAATGTCCTCGGGTGAGGATTAAAAAATAAATAAATAAAGTTTTCTATCCAGGACTTAAATTAACCAGTATGTAGATACATGTACACCTTATTTCTTTCTTTGTCCTATGTGTTACTGTGTTGGCTGAACATAGACCCCCAAACCTGGAGGTTATGGTGAGGGAATGACACTTAACTGTGTTGCTAATGTTTACTCCTTGCTTACTGCAATTATTATAGGATGAAGGCATTTTTGTACTGAGGTTCTAGAATGAGGAAAACTCTTCCTGGACCCTGGACAGTGGCTCAGTTGGTTGGAGTGTCGTTCCGTACACTGAGAGGTTTTGGGTTTGACTTCTGGTCAGGGCACATACCTAGGTTTCGGGTTCAATCCCTGATTGGGGCAAGTATGAGAGGCAACTGATTGATGTTTCTCTCTCACATCAATAAAAACATATCCTAGGGTGAGGATTAAAAAACAAAACAAGCCCTGGCCGGTTTGGTTCAGTGGTTAGAGCACCGGCCCTCAGACCAAATGATCAAGGGTTCGATTCCCCATGAAGGGCACATACCTAGGTTGCAGGTTAGATCCCTGGCCCTGGTCACGTCATGCAGGAGCCAACCAATGGATGTATGGCTCCACAGATGTCAATCTACCAATGCCCAGCAAAAGTTTAAGGCTAGGATTGTCCTAGAGTCTAGAGTAGGACATGAATAAAAGAACCTAGGGTAGCTCTGCAAAGTTCAAAGGGAGAAAGGTATTTGAAGTCCTCTGGGGAGAGAAGGGTAAGCTATTAGACAGCAAAGGACACCCAGCAGATATAGGCAGAGAAAGTCTAACACACACACACACACACACACACACGGTACATGTTAAAGTCACCTACCACCTGCTTCAAGGTCCTCCTCTTGTTCTTCTTCTTCATCACCCTCGTTTTTGTAATAAGACTCCCACCCTGACATGTTGGTAAGTGCTCACTAGGTGAAAGAAAGTTAAGATCAGTAAGCAGCACATTTAAACCTAAAAATACAGATTCCTTTGAGGTCTGTCCTAAGGGCTCGTGGTTACTCGTGAGAAATGTGGATGTTGGATCCTGCTGCCTCAAGAACTCTCAGTAACTGAGACCCAGAGGTAAATGGGCTTGGGAACCATTCCAGCAGCCTCACCTTAGCTACCCCTTAAGGTGGTGGCCGAGGATGGCCGCTCTGATGAATGTGGAGGTTCCGTTCTACCTCCAGCACCATCTGGACTTAAGGGATTCCCGCTCCAAGATATTCCGTCCTCAAACGGACCCATCTGTCCTCATCCCGCCCCAAATCTCTCTCAACTCCTCAGCGGGTCATGCCCAGAGGAGTCTCAAGTGCAGGTGGGCCTCTAAAGCCGGGTGCGGCCTCCCCCAGGAAAAAGGAACAGGAGGTCCCTCGGGCCGCACACTCCTGGCTGCCGTAGCCCTGCAGCGAGGCTAAGACTAAGCGGGCGAAACAGGACCAAGCCAGCCCGGGCCAGCCAGCAACACAAACACAAGCTGTTCCTGCCTACCTCAAGCGCAGGCAAGAGCTCGACTAAGCATCCCAGTTCTTTCTTCCAATCAACGCCCTACGTCATCACGCATGGTGCGCACGTTTCCTGTCGAGCCGACACGCCCACCCCCACAAGCTGCTTTCGGTTTGTCTCCAACGACTACCACCCGGTCAGCGAAAGCTCCGCCCCCTCCAGCAAAACCCCGCCCCTCGTCGCCGGTCAGGATGGTGTGCACATGCGCGAAAGTGCGTCCCCGCCCCTGGCCCTGTTCCGCGAGGACCCTGCTGGTCCCGGCTCTGTCACCTCACAGTAGTCGTTGCGGGTGGCGGGCGGGGGGCGCGAGCAGAGCAGGGCGGCATCTCCCCCGCCCTTCTGGCCGGGCCCGGGCTCGGTCCCCCCACGCTCCTTCCGCTCCCTACCCCAGTCGGGTACGGGAAAGTCCAAGCCGCTGCCGAGTGCCAGAGGGACTTCGTGGCCGCTGCCGCCACGGGTCCTGATGGAGCCGCCGAATCTCTATCCGGTGAAGCTCTACGTGTACGACCTGTCGAAGGGCCTAGCCCGGCGGCTCAGCCCCATCATGCTGGGTGAGGGGGTTGGGCGTGGGAGGGTAGGAGGGCCGGGACGGACCGCCAAGGTGGGGAGGCCTGGGCCAAGGCTAAGAGGGAGACGTGGGGCCCAGAGGATGGAGAAAAGCCCGAGTAGAGAAGGGAGGGGGGTCTGAGGTTTGGGCCCCTAAGCCCCACTATCGGTTTGAATCCAGGGGGAAGGGATGGAGAGGAATCACGCCCTCCCCTGTCCCTTCAGAGCCCCTTCAGCTGGGAGGTGGGGTAAGGCGGCGCTGGATCCGGGTGGGTTCCCTGCCTCGCTCGGCGAGCCCTCTAGCTCCTTCCTCGGCGCAGAGGTGAGGATGCCTGCCGCGTGGTGCCCCGCGTGGTGAAAGGGACATTGCGGAGGAGATTCTCGGGTGGCCCTAGGAGAGCCTTCCCTCCGTGCCAAAAGGAAAGTCTTTCTGCAGTCTCTAGGGTAAGTGGGAAGAGAAAGCTAGAGCTGCACGGGGACCCAGACATAGCCCCTTAGACAGAGATGAAGTCAGGTCTACTGGAGCCCCAACTCCAGAATTCACCTTGCTTTTGCCCAGATGGTTAAGAAAGTAATTCCGGGGGAGGAATTACTGTTGTATCAGTAGGGATTAGTAAGGGAAGTGTTTAAGTTGTGCTCCATTAAACTATTTAACTGCCAGGAGAGAAAAATCAATGATCAAACCTCATTATAACCCAAATACCAAAATGCCTTGTGTAACATAGAGATTGTCAGGCTTGTGATTTCAGGTGATAGTGGGCAGGAAAGTATTCCAGGAATTGAATATTGAACAGCTTTGCAACATCCTTTTGAATGACTAGTTTTTCCTGGCTTATGGAGACATTAGAGAATATTTTACTTCATGTGCATAAGACAAGAGGGCATAGGTCAAGTAAGCAAGGCTTACTTTTGAGGGTGTCTTTTCAATATCCGTGAGTTTCTAATTGCTATATTGAATTAAACTTAACCTCTTAACCCTGGGCTATTTAGTAGTTCCTATATTCAGTTTCACTCCAGAACCACCTAGGGTGCTTCTGAAAAACACAAAGATACCTTCCTTTTTTTTTTTGGTACGTGCCCCTAGTGGGAACCGAACCCGGAACTCTGGTCCGCAGGCCAACGCTCCAACCGCTGAGCCAAACCAGCCAGTGTGATACCTTCTTTTTCAACGTATATTGTTAAATGGGAATAGAAAAAAACAAAATTAGAACAGTTCTTTAAATATGCAAGTATGTATTTAGAGAAAAGGATGTATGCATACTTGACTAGGCAGATAGTATCTGGAAGAATACAAAAGAAATTGTTAACAGTGATAGCTTATGGAAAAGTGAACTTTGCTGTAACTTTTTTGTACCTTTTGAATTGTATACTGCATACCTGTATTATCTATTCAAAATAAGCAATGTTTTAAATATATGGATTCTAGCACCTCATTATACAAGTACTAAATAAAACTCCTCTGGAGTTTTGATCCAAAATTTTGTATTTTTAAGAAGCTCCTCAGATAATTCTATGTAGCTGATCGATTATTGGACAGAAGTTGGGCTTAGATTGTTAAAATAGTAAGGCAGCCCCAGCTGGGTGGCTCAGTTGGTTGAAGCATCCCGTACACAAAAACGGTTTTGGTCAGAACACTTATCTGGGTTGCCAGTTCAATCCCCCCCCCCCCAGTCAAAGTTTCTCTCTCATGTCTCTCTCTCTCTCTCTCTCTCTCACTCTCTCAATCTCTCTCTCTCTCTAAAAAATCAATAAACATATCCTTGAGTGAGGATTAAAAAAATAAAAAGATTGGTAAGGCAAATCTGAAAGCAAAACTTACTAAGTCACTGTTTGGAGAAGGTGCTAATAATTACTAAGAGATTGCATCAGTCAAGTTTTAACTAAACTTCTTGAAATGGAGCCATTTGGTTAGTTTGATAATAGTGGGGCATTAAATATTCCCTAGACCCAAAAATAAAAGCCTCCTTTTTATTGGGTATTTTTTTGTTCTATTACTTAATAGTTATTGATCTTAGCTGAAAGGAGCCTTATAGATCATTGCTTCATGATTCATTCAGCAGCTCTTTATTGAGTGCCTACTATGTGTGGTCCATAACTAAGGGTGATAAAATGAACAAAGATACCTTGTGCCATCATGGAGCAATTTAATGGGGAAGACATTAAAAATAAACAAGCAAATAAAATAATTACAAATTATGATAAGTGCTCAGCTGTGCAGGAAGCAAACTGCGTGCTGAGAAAGAAAATAATGAGATCTACTTTAAGGGTTATCAGGAGCAGTGACTTTTAAGTTGGGAATTGAAAGATGAAAGTAGCCAAATTGAAAGTAGCCAAATCTAATTCATTCTTCTCTCCACCTTTTTTCCATATTGCTTTTATGCCTTTTGCAAAAGTAATGAAGACACACAGGTTATCAAAGCTAATAGTCATTACTGTCTAGATTTGAAAACTTTGGAAAATGGGCATTGTCTTACTGTTTCATCCCATCCAGACATCACTAACCTTAACATTGGGTATACGCCAGTTCTATTAATAGCCATCTATTGATTTCCCATTCCTAAATATATTTGAACCTTTAAAAAATCAATTTGTTTCCTGACTTTTGTGAGAACATCTAGGAACATATTAATAGCATCTATTGAAAGCTTACTATGAGCCAGACCCTTTTTTTCTCTTTTTTTCTGGGAACTTTAAATGTGTTATAATCCTCACCACAATTTGTGAGATGGGTCTTGTCATTACCTCCAATTTTCAGTTGAGCCAGACCTGGGTTATGAACATAAGCAGTCTGACCTCCAGAGCTCATGTTCTCAGTCATTTTGATATACCACCTCTACTGTGTAATGTGTTCCCTTATAATTGATGTAAGGTAGGTACCTTGTTTATGTTTGTAAAGGCATCTTTGGCCCGTCTGGTGTGGCTCAGTGGTTGAGCATCAACCCATGCACTAAGAGGTTGCTGGTTGATTCCCATTCAGGACATATGCCCAGGTTGTGGGCCTGATCCCCAGTGGGGGGCAGGCGGGAGGCAGCCCGTCGATGTTCTCTCACATCGATGTTTCTCTCCCTCTCCCTTCCCCTCTCTCTCTCTCTCCCTGTAGTATCAATAAAGAAAAATAAAATAAAGGCATCTTTGGCCAAGTGTTCCAAGTTTAGATGAGGTAAAAATCTGGGTTCAATGTGTATATGCCATTCATAATCATAGATTTATGACCACTCCTTTAGCCTTCATTTTCCCAAACTAAATTAGTGTGGCCTCATCAGCAGTACCCTCCTATTCTTATGGCAGTTCTTCATTATAAGACCCCGTCTAGCTCTGTTACAGTCATGATTGGACTAGATAAAGCCCAATGTAATTCTCTTCTCTCCCCAAAACACTGGAGACTCCACCTATTTACCCAGTCTCCTGGTTTTCAGTCTCCTAGAATGCTTTCCACGAAGGTATTCCTGTTCCACAGTCCCTCAGTCACCATGAAAATGGTCTCAAAACTATCCTTAGTGTTCTAATCAGCAGACAACTAATTGTACTTTTTTTTCCCATAGTCACCATTTGCCTAAGATAATTAGGTATTATAATTGCCCTTCAGTTTCTCTTCTAATAATGCTGGCTGCTTTTTAAATTTCTTGACCTCTTTCTATGCTAAAGTACATAGAGATAAGTGCAGAGGGTTTGGATTTTTTTTTTTTAATCCTCACCTGAGGACATTTTTCGGTATTTTGTTCTGATAGAGTGGGAGGGAGAGAGAGAGAGAGAAAAACATCAACGTGAAAGGGACACATCGAGCGGTTGCCACCCGCACGACCCAACCAGGGCCAGGGACAAACTGCAACCGATGCACGTGCCCTTAACAGGAACCAAACCCTGGTCTCTCTGGACCACAGGCCAACGCTCTAACCGCTGATCCAAACCGGTCAGGGCCCCAAGGACATTTTTGCATTTATCTTCAGATAGAGCGGGAGGGAGAGAGGAGGGAAGAGAGAGAGAGAAACATCGATGTGAGAGAGACACATCGATTGGTTGCCACCCACACAACCCCAACTGGGACTGGGGACAGACTGCAACCGAGGTACATGCCCTTAACTGGAACCGAACCTGGGACTCTCTGGTTCACAGTCTGACACTCTAACCGCTGAGCCAAACCGGCCAGGGCTGGATTTTTTTTTTTTTTAACTGTAGTAAAGGGTACTTTATATCTGTTGATTATTTTCTGATTTGAAGTTTTTTGTACATGCACATATCCTGAGATCACATTTATTTTTCTTTACAAGCCTATATCACATTGTTCTCAGGTTTAAAGACTTAGGTAGGGCCCTGGCCATTTTTGCTCAGTGGTTAGAGCATTGGCTCGCAGACCAGAGAGTCCCAGGTTCGGTTCCTGCTAAGGGCACGTACCTCGATTGCGGTTCGTCCAAGGCCCTGGTTGGGGTCGTGCGAGTGGCAACCAGTCGATGTCGATGTCTCTCACATCAGTGTTTCTCTCTCTCTTCCTCCCTCCCTCCCTCCTTCTCTATCTGAAAATAAATGCAAAAATGTCCTTGGGTGAGGATAAAAAAAAAAAAGACTTAGATAGGGATCTGGGGGTGGAATATATAGAGAGTAATGAAATACATTAACTCTGTCCTCCACAAGTTCATTTCACTAAAAATAATGTATGTATGATGCAACAGCATAAAAGAGATTGTGATTAGATGCCAAAATGAGTGAGTGGTGAAGCAATTATTTTAAACCTTGAAAGAAGGGAGAGGCCGTGGTGGGCTGGATGTGACAGAAAGACTTCAGCAAGAATCTTGAGCTCCTGGAGCACAGAGACTGTCTCATTCCTCTGTGTGTCCCCAGCGGACAGTCAGAACTGCTGTGCAATAAATATTATTATAGGAATGATTGCAACTTGAAGATGAAGTAGAATTTATTTGAAGCTGAGGAGTTTTTTTATGTTTTAATGCCATCCATTGTGCTTTGTGTTAGATTTTTATTGTTCATTGTGTAAACTGTTTTATATCCAGGT